TTCATCATGCAGTAAATTCCATTCTGTGGATTGCTCGCGAATGCCCCCGCTGAAAACAATAGATGAAATATTGCCCACTCCACTCGATTCAATAAGCCAAAGCAGTTTGAGATGTCGTCCCCACCTGCTCTGTAATTGCATTATGGCTCTCTAGGTCAATCAGACGCTAATAAATATCTGTTTGTGCTTCTCGAACAGAATCAACAGATTCCAGTGAAGTCCAGTGGAAATGTCTTTAGTTATTGGCATATATTAATATACAGCAGCATTATTACTAACATCACTGTATTGCCTCAATGTAGTGATCAAACTTTTCTTTTCTTTTTATTTGGAATTAAAGGGACAGAAAATGAACATTTACGCACTATTTACTCATTCTGTTGAACCAAAAAGAAGATACTTTGATGTATGCTGAAAGCCGGTAACCACTGACTTCCATTACAGGAAAAAAACACATACTATGGAAGTCAATGGTTACCGGTTTTCAGCATACTTGAAAATATCTTCACAAGCTATATTATATAAAGCTGGATAAGTTGGCAGTTGATTCCGCTGTGGCGACCCCTGATAAATGAAGGGACTAAGCCGAAAGAAAATGAATGAAATTAATTAACGTGATAGTTAAAAAAAAAAACATTTACATACTAGTTACTCACTATAAACCTTCAAGAGTTTCCATATTGTTTAAAGAATGCGGAAAACCGGTAACCATTGACTTCCGTAGTAGAAAAAAAATTAATTCTATGGAAGTCAATGGTTACAGGTTTACAGCTTTCATCCAAATATCTTAATTTGTGTTCAACAGAAGTCAAACATGTTTGTAACAAGTCAATGGTGAGTAAATGATGACTCAATGATTTTTCAGTTCTGGTGAACAATCCCTTTAATATATATCAAAAACATTTTTTAGCGCATGCTTAAATATGCACTGAAAATGAACCGATGTAATTTCACCAAGAAGGTTCACAAAAGTATTTATATTAGTTCTATAGTTCATATAGTCAAGTTATGTCCTCGATTGACACTGATCCTATAGCATTTATTTAAAAGTAAAATCTTTGAGAGCTACACATTCATGTATACAGCAATGAAAATAAGGCCCAATTCCAATTCTACTCCTTTGCCCCTCCCTTTACTCCTACCCCTCAATCTGAGCATTAACGTGAAGGGGTAGGAGTATCCCAACTCTCTTTAGCTTGAAGGCGTAGGGCTAAGGGGAAGGGCTAGATAGCTCTTGAAACTGAGATTTTTCAGGACCACACTCAAAACCAAGGGGTAAGAAAATTTTCCAAAATTAACCATCTACAACGGCAGCATGGCTGCACACGAAAGTAAGGAGATGCACAAATTAACGTTTTTTGTCATTATTATGAATTTTCAAGACGAGCAAGCACATGTTTTAATACATTCATAACCGCGTACGTGATTTACCATCATGGTTTTTAACAAAAACGCTAAAATAAAATCCACTAAATTTCGCTATCTATACCATCCTTTTCAGAAAACATTCTAAAGCTGCCGTTGACTTGATAACAACCAAAGAAATCCATATATGCAAACGAAACAAATCGAATTAGTTTACAAATTAAGTTATACATAATAAAATGAAATGACGAAGGAAAAAAGTCTTAAACACATGAAGAAAGGAAGGTATAGAAAGGCAGTGAAAGCCCAGACAGCAGCTGGAATCTCTCAGTAGTTCTTTAGAAACCCTCTGCCCTTCCTCAGTGGAAATTAATATTAGCTGCTTCAGTCCAACGTCTACATTAGCAGGATGATGAAGATGAAAAGTATTTATGATATTAGTTCTGTGGTTCATTTGGTCAAGTGATGTCCTCAATTGACTGATATTTTTAAGATGATTATGGACTAAAAATCAGTTTTTAATGTTCAGTATTTATATACTTTCAGCTATGCTTTTTCTACTGAACACAGCTATAGCCCAATGCATTAATTCACATACAAAGACAAGCTCTGTAGTTCGATTCCCTTTCAGCCATTACGAAAAAAAATAAAACATTTAAAGTTTCTCAAAAAGAATCTGAGTCCTCATTCCTGGTAGTATAAGTGCTGTTCAGTGAAACTGCTTATGTGGAATTGAAAAAGTAATCGATTTCAAAATACTTCACTGATGGTGCTCATGCCTTGCAAGGGCACAGCGATATTTAATTTACTCACAGAGTGGGAATCACACACACACACACGCATGCACTTCAATGACACAACATTCAGGAGCCTTGGAGTGGATATGAAACAAGGTTTTTCCTCCCCTATATGTACTCAGGTGCACATTAAGGCATTGCCGGTTTAAGATTCTTGCAATGCAACCTCAAGAACAAATATTAACAAACATGGCAATGGAGCTATTCAAGTTTCAATACAAAGCTGAATCCTTTCCAGTCAATATAAAATGAACTTTGAAAACTATTTTAATTACAAGATCTAACATATTTCCACTTTAAATGGACCATATGGAATAAATTGTGTATATTAATTGCTTTTTTTGTAATTGAACATATGTGAACAGCCCATAACAAAACTCCATGATATCCTATGCTGTCAATGAAAGCCTATACAATAATGTGATGTACTTAGGGTTTTTAAAAAGGAAATTGTGCAAGTGAATTCAACATACAGATCCTTTGAATGGAATATCCTCATGAAAGGAAATCAAAAGCTTGCAAAAATGGCTGGAAGTGTAGATGAAGCAAGATGAATCTGTGTCATCACAGGAAAAATGGTTTCAGAAGCAACTGATTGCATTTTGATCATTAAAACTAAATCTGATAAAATAAATAGATCAAAATCATACAGAAAATAAGTGTCTTGATTCAAAACACAGAGAATAGTGCCAGCTAGGGACCAACTACCACTCAACAGATAATCAACCTTTTAAAAAAGGAAATATATATTGGTATTGATGGTTCGTTATAGTTGAAAAGGGTTCTTCATAGGGCTGCACAATACTGGGAAAATATGCAAAGTGATATTGGTGTTCAGTGTTGCCATAACAATATTTCTTATGATATAACTAACTTGTGAAATGCTATTTTATCAGCAAGTAAATGTGCTGTGTGTAAGTTTCTGACTCTTCTAAAGCTTAAAATATCATAATATGTTTGCAGATATTTAAGAAACATGCCAAGTGAACATTGCTGTTTATCTGAAAAACAATGCTGAAGTCGGATTTTCTGCTTTAAAAATGTGTGTTAAGTGCCGGAACAGCTATTTTATTTTAACCTGCCCACTGCTACTTTAGCCAATTATATTTCAGCACCCTGGGTTACCTTGCTGGAAAACAATTTATTTTATTCATTTATTCGTTGAGGAGGGCTCTCAAAACATGCGTCCATGGCTGAAATGCATCCTCTGGTGGACAGTAGCAGACTCCGAAATGAGACGCAGATTCAGAGTCCCACATTGGGTCACTGCCTAATTGGGACAATTAATTAGGATGTTTGCACCAGACGAAACATGACATAAATTTAAATATAGCCATTTAGAAGCACAGAATATGCACTTACTCATGAAATGGTAAGGTTTATAATCTAATTAAAACATATTAAACCTCTTTAACATTATTAAATGTACATGCTGAATGACTATATGATATTTGTTTCACAGTTCTAAAGTTAAATTTCACACGGTTTATTTTATTTTCAAGATCTGAGGTGAAACTATCTGCTGTAGTATGGCAATAAATTTTAAGGTAAAAGAGCATTTAAACTCACATTATTAGCATTTAACACTAAAAAAAAGCACATAAGGTGTACCTGAGCTGATCATTGTTTATCCTGTTATTCACTTGTCATTTTTAAAATATAAATTTCAGGTGTTGGTTACGAAAACTCTTTTAAGTATGAAAAAAAATATTCCTTCTATTGTGTGCCGTTGCTTTTAGTCAGAGAACGATTCAAATAGGACTTTTGGCTCGATATTCAGGTACACTCGTGTCAATCTGGCAACCTGCTTTTGTTCGTGTTTTGATCCAGTGTTGCAATACCTAGTTCAACCACTGGGTGTCAAACTTACATACTGCACCTTTAAAAAAATCAAGACTAGACATTTTCCCGGGCTCCAGGTGCTCCGGTTTCCCCCACAGTCCAAAGACACACGCTATAGGTGAATTGAATGAACTAAATTGGCCATAGTGTATAAGTGTGTGTGTGAATGCCGGAATAGTTGGTGAAAGTCACGACAACAAATATTTTTATATTGCTTTAACTTATTTTAAGAAGTTAATTAGGTTTCAACTCATTTTTTAAGTTATACAAAATTTAAATTAATATTTTTTAGATGATTGATGTAACAGCTGATTTATACTTCTGCATCAAGTGCAAGAGTATGGTCTGGCCCAGCCTTCGCATGGTTGCATAGCCCTCGCAGTGGCTGACGCAGATGCTGATGCACACCTCTAAAAAAAATTTAACTACATGAGTTTTAGCTGTTGTAGCATTCCGAAAGAACAAAACACCAGCGAAGAAACTCGACAAAGATGAAAATAAAAACCTACTGCAAGCTAACGCTTCGGAAGTGTTATTGCAGAGCAACATAAACAGCATGCAGAAGTATAAATGCACGACTATGTGCAAGGCAGGCACCGTGGGTCACGGTCATTACTCGGCAAAGGACTTGAGATGACTAGAAAAGTTAATTTGATTCAACTAAAAAATTTAAGGCAGCAGTGATTTTACAGTGTGGAGAGGTCGGGATGAAGATAGAAAAGACCTTACCTGATTGGCCAGATTTGGATTAACAACTAACAATATATGCATGCATCAACCAAATGCTTGGAAAATAAAATGTATTTTGTTTACTGCACTTCTCTGCAATACGAATATCTCAAATAAAATTGTTGCTATAAGATCATTTTTCAATGTTTATCAATAAACTCATTTTAAGAACTGTTCACTGAAAAGTTCTCTGAGAAAACAAAAAATGATTGTTCTGAGGCATTGCTGATGAAAAACTCGTTTAATATCAACCTGTTTTTCTTTTAGCTACATAGAGAGTCAACCCAACCTGGAGAACATCACAGATGTAGACCTCGCCAACTACAGAGAACTGAAGAATCTGTAAGTATGACAGCCTACAAAAGATTTTCAAGTGGTTTAAGAGGTAAATGGTACTTACAAACATAGATATAGAATTAGATATACGTTTGGGGACAGGTGATTTTAAGTCAAGTTATATTCCTGTGATGCAAAGCTGAATTTTTAGCATCATTCCTACAGTCATTAGTGTCAAAGAATCCTTCAGAAATCATTCCTTATATACTGATATGCTGCTTTTAGAAGATTTCTGATTGTTATTGTGTTGCCTAATATTTTGGGTGGACACACAAAAGAAAGGTTAATGCTTTTCTTGTTTGTTTCAGGACGATCACAGATTGTGGGTTGGTGTACATCTCTGAAAATGCCTTTCAGCATAACTTCAAGCTGCAGTATGTGTGAGTGTTCTTTACATATAATACTGGCCTTCCCACAATACACTTGGGTCTCCAGGCTTGTACCTGTCAATCACTTCAAATCCTCTTCCATTCTGATGAGTGAAGCTGCATTATTGGTCTCCGGCGGTAAAAACCCAAGACACATTTAAAGTTATTCAACCAAAATATGAAAACACATTTCCACACCACATTTCCAGAAATCATTTGATGTCCTCCTTCCCGCTAAATCAAGAGGAAATTGGAAGAAATGTGTTGCTCATTATAATCATGTGATCTTAGTCCTTGAGGACAATCTGAAAATGTTTTTGGGTGGGAAACTTCCTAAAATCAGCTTGGTTAATGAGTATTAATGATGTGACATGAGATCCAGTAGCTTATTGTAACCATATTACAGAGGCTCTATCTGTCCATATATCTATTTATTTGATGATTCCTTTAGCCACCCATCCATCCAATTATCCATAGATCCATCACTTCTCCATCTGTCCATTCATCCATTCTTTTATGCTTATTTATTTATCCATCCATTAACCCATCCATCTTTTTCATCCATCCAGCCATCCATTCATCGATTTATTTATTGATCGCACCAAATCACATCAACATCCATCCATTTATCCATCTAATCATCCATTTCTTTCAATCCATGTCTAATCCTCTATTCATCCATACATTAGTCAGTTAATTTATCTGTCAATACATTCATCCATCCATCTCTCACTTCATTCATCTGACTATCCATCTGTCTGTCTCTTCATCCACCCATCCATTTATTCTTCTAGCCATTCATACATTTATCTAAAGATCAATCCATCACTTCTTCATCCGTCCATTCATTCATCCATCCATTCATGCATTTATTTATTGATTGATCACACTACCAGTCTCTTCAACATCCATCCATCTACTCATCCATCTTTCTTTCAAGTCTCAATATATCAGTCTAATCCTTAATTCACTTGTCAGTTAATTTATCTGTCAATACATCTGTCTATCCATCCATCCATCTCTCAGTTCATACATCTGTCTATCCATCTGTCTGTCTCTTCATCCACCCACCAATGTATTTTTTTAACCATTCATACATTAATCTAAAAATCAATCCATCACTTCTTCATCTGTCCATTCATTCATCCATCTATTCATGCATTTATTTGATCGCACCACCAATCTATTCAACATCCATCCATCCATCTTTCTTCTAATCTTCAATATATCGGTCTAATCCTCCGTTCACTTGTCAGTTATTTTATCTGTCATTTCATTCATCCATCCATCCATCCATCTATGTCTCAGTTCAGAAATCTCTCTGTCTCTTCATCCACCCACCCATCAATCGTCGATTCTTCTAGCCATCCATCCATCCATTTATCTAAAGATCCTCCATCTGTCCATTCAGCCATCCATTCATTCCTATTCATTCATCCATCCATTAACCCATCAATCTTTCTAATTATCCATCTATCCATTAATCCATCCATGCATTTATTTATGGATCGCACATCAATCTTTTTCTCCATCTTATCATCCATCTTTCTTTTAATCCTCAATATATCGGTCTAATCCTCCATTCACTTGTATATCCATCTGTCTGTCTCTTCATCCACTCATCCATTTATTCTTCTAGCCATTCATCCATTTATCTAAAGATCAATCCATCACTTCTTCAACTGTCCATTCATTCATTCATCCATCCATTCATTCATGCATTTATTCATTGACCACACCACCAATCTCTTCAACATCCATCCATCTAATCATTTTTCTTTCTTTCAATCCTCAATATATCGGTCTAATCCTCCATTCAGTTATTTTATGTCAATTCATCCGTCCATCCATCTCTCAGTTCATTCATCTCTATCTCTTCATCCACCCACCCATCTATCATCGATTCTTCTAACCATCCATCCATTTATCTAAAGATCCTCCATTTGTTCATTCAGCCATCCATTCATTCCTCTTCATTCATCCATTCATTAACCCATCAATCTTTCTAATTATCCATCCATCCATGCATTTATTTATTGTTCGCACATCAATCTTTTTAACATCCATCCATCCATCCATCTGTTTATGCATCTAATCATCCATCCTTCTTTCAATCCTCAATATATCAGTCTAATCCTCCATTCACTTGTCAGTTAATTAATCCTTGTCCTTCTATCCATCTCAAATAACAAATATGAATTTTGTACAATAAAATGCCTAACCTACTAAAGACCTCATTACTACAATCATTCTTCTAATATTGCGAGAACAAGTACACACAACTATTTTTGATCACCCACTCTATAGCCAAAAGAGCTGACATCTATTCCCGCTCGGAGGGAAGATTTCTAATCACCGCCTTGACAAACACTAATAATATTAGCTGAAAGGTTGTTGACCCTTATCTCCACTATCTTGTAATCGTTATCTCTCAGTGTGTGCGACATGCCCACTGTTGTTGATGTGGGGGGAAAAGCGGTCACATAGGAGAAAGGGGGGGAATGCGAGGGTTCTGGGGGAAACATGAGAGCATATCCAGCAGTCACCTTTTACTCGCCCACTTTGGCGTATTATTGACAACTGATGCATAATAAATACACTCCACTAAGGGTCCATTATCACGCAATCAATATTTCACAGAGGGCTGTGAGGAGGACCAGATGTGTCTTAGATCTGCAAGCACTAGGGATGTACAGTATTAAAAAATAATACGTATAAATGAATCTATCTTTTTATCCGCTTGACCAATTCAATCAGTGTAATTCTTAAATCAGCGGTCTTCCCTCCCTTCGACGCCAGTATGAAACGGCAGCTGCTATTCTCAGACGCTTTCTCCCTACGGTAGAATCGAGCTGTAATAGATAGGCCCCGATGGCCGACCCATCTGACATGAACTTTTGGGAGTAGGGAAAACAAATATTTGAACCCTTGCTGGCCCCCATTAGCCCTGCCACAGAGAATCTATATCTGCAAAGCCGTTATCATCCTGTCATCTCTCTTTTTATAGCATCCTAGAAAGGTCTCGCCAATTCATTTAGACAAGCTAACAAATATCTTTCAATCAGAAACCTTGAATCACAACATTTTCTGTGTAAAAGCATAAAACAAAAAAAACAAAAAATGCCTGTGCTCAACATTACAGCCTTTCAAATTTTCACTTTCACGATTCTTGTCAAAGGTGTTATGGCTTGTTTGTGAGAGAGGAAATTCACTACTCTAATTAAGCATTGAGTCTAGTGTCAGCCAATAAAGAGAGATGGGTGCCAGTTTTATTTAGAAATGCAGTGCTGCTATGAAATATTCCGTTGCACTGAATCTGTCAATATAGTGGCACTTGTTATTTCTGTATACTGTGAGGCCAGACGTTAGAATAAATTCTAAAGCTTTAATCATGAAACAATGGGCTCTATTTTAACCATCTAGATGCAAAATCATTAAGGGCATTTCTGAATTCACTGGTCTAAGACAGTTGTACTTATTCTCTTAATGAGTTATGGGTGTGTTTTGAGTATAACGTGCATTAAACCAAACATAGTCTCATTTCACATTCCCTTTAAGAGTTCGTTGTGTTTTTTGCTATTTGCTATCTACTTACTTTGTAAGTGGAAAAACGGAACGCTTCACTAGCGAGAAATCGGTTAAACAGGCCATCTGGGTAAGGATAAAGAACTGGCCTCCTCCATTCAGCCACTTTACTTTCACTTTACTTTACTTTTAATCTTTACTCCTTTACTTTAGTGGAGTAAGGAAATTGTGTAGTACGCACTCCACTGAAGACATTCATTAGTCTACATATTTAATTTCATTTCTTAAGTGCGAAGATTTGTTTCAAAACTATTGCTAAATTCAATTCTAATTTCCAGCAAACAAATAAATGAACAAAAATAGTGAAGTGTGGTCAAAAAATAGAGTTATATTCAAACACACATACTATTCTTATGCCCCATAAGGCAATGCATACGTCTCCAAAACCCGAAAGGTGGACAAGTCTAAGCTTGTTTTTATTAAAACAAAAATAAATATGCATATTTTAAATAATACTGCTGATAATAATAACGTTAAAAAATGCTAATTGTCATGAATAAACTGAAAAAGCCCCCCAAGGTGAGGTATGGAGGTAGTTTTTATATTTAGGTATAAAATAATATTTTTGTAACATTTTAATCCTTATATTTTTCATATGTAAAGATATTTGTGAATTGCTGTATATCCTGTGTGTATTAAGCAATGTGTAAGCATTTGGACCTGCATAGGTGCATAACTAAAGTTTTATTTTTGTATTTTCTGTTTTATTTGTACATTTCTCTGTTTTATTTGTACACAGATTTTCTATTTGAGTTTTTATTACTTCAGTACTCAATCTTTTTAATCCACTTTGTTTTTCTTTTAGTTTTTTTAATACTTTAAAAAAAAAAGTTTCATCCCATAATAATGTTTATTTGAAGCATTATTTAAATAAACAAATAGGCTTTTAATAGTTTTAATAAAAAACAAACAAACATTACTTTGAGCTAGGGGTGTCAGATATTCATAAATAACCCCTTGAACTGTATATTTGAAAAAAAAAAAAAAAAAAAAAACTTTAATAATGTTAAGTGTGTTTTTGACAAGCTTTTAACATGTATAAATATATATGGCACTAAAAATGCCAGTAGATGTTGGCAAGTTTTAGTCCTAATAAGCGATTCATTTATTCATTCACAGAATTCTAATTAAAAACTAAATCACTGAATCATCAGTTGACTCATTTCATTCATAACATATTTATTCAGGAATGAAACACCACAGTGTTGCTCTGACATGCGAAATGTTCTGCTCCTGCTTTGTTTGGAATGGTTTTCATTTTCTAATACTGTGTCTATAATCTAACATATGAACTAAATTCTTATCTACTGAACTGCTGTATGAAATCAGTTGAAAGCTAATACATTTGCAATGCCAACAATATTTACTACAACGGCACTCTTGCTTGTGTGATATTACTTAAACTATATAATATCTTATTAAAAAGATGAAACAAGGCTCTTTTTGACTCTTTATCTTAAATTATAGGCTTATTCTAACCAGACGTGGCTTGCGCAAATGAATAAATCTCGATATTCACGCATAATTAGGCATGTGCATATTTTGAGTTTACTTGCTTCATTCACATGTGAAATTCACTCCACAATAGATGCAAACTTGGGGAGGTGCTTCTGTCTGCCTGTAGAGTCGAGTTTCATTGCTAAATGCCAGTAGCTAAAGAGACAGTAGCTGTGCTTTTATGTGCTTTAGGAAGGCTGATAAATGGAATAGATTCATTTGGCTATGTGTCTGAGTCTATTAAATTCTTTCAGACGTGCGTTCATCAACTCCAATCCCAATTTGAACAGCGGTTGTCCCATGTCGGCAGGAGGATTTCCCCCTGGGACACCAACAAAAGGCGATACATCATAATAACGCCCCTATAAGAGCTAACTCCTGATTGATGAATACGGCACAAATGGCCAACATAGCTCAGATTTTCCAACACAAGTGTTAAGAGCGTCAAACGCATCATTTTCTAGCCTCATTCATGTGAATAGCATGACAGGATGTCTATTTGTGTCCTGGTGTGAATGCACCATAACAGGCTTGACGCAGTAATTGTTTTTGTTTAAATAACAATCAAAAATGTCAGCTCACATTAGGGTTGGGTCGATAGACCATCGTGCTTTGAGCACAAAACCCCAGAGAGCAGTGCACATCGGACAGTTTATCAAGGATGTACTGCTGGATCGCCTCTCACTATAGTTGTTAAATGTAATATTTATTAATCTAATGACTCTTTAGTCTTTTTAATCTATCAGGTAACGTGTCACAGCAAGTCTTTCGCTTTCACGCTCGTACTAAGTCATTTTAGCGAAAACCTCAGATACTGTTGGTTGGTTTCTGTTGGTTGTGCACCTTTTTTTTTACCAACCAAGTTTGTCGACACCATTACAACACAGATCACTCTGCCTATTCATGCCAGAGTCCCCCAGAAATCATTTGTATGTAACTTTATATATGCGGGTCAGGTAGTTGAAACAGTAGGCTACAAATAATTAATTCGTTATTAATTAATTAATTATTCATAAATAATGAATTATCCGCCACCTACAACAACACCATCATCCATCGCGATGTTTTAATTGGTCGACATTGCTCAACCCTAGCGCACATAGCACTAAAATAACAACCCTGATATTAAGCGTTGACAATATATATCATACAGGCCATCTTGGGAGTGAATGCTGAAATAGCAACCATTTAGCAATGTCCTAGCAACTTCCAATGCATTCTGAACGCACAAGAAATCTTTATCAAGTATAATTCTACAATAACTATAAATCTTTTCTCTTCCTTTCCAGAAACCTGGCCTCTAATGCACTGACGCACATCAGTTGGAGGGTGTTCCAATCTGTGACTCTATTGAGTCTGTAAGTAGCGCACTGCACTCAAAAACACTGCTGTGCTCAAATTTACTGATTTATTCTGCTCAGCTGGTGATTTGAGACTGAAAATGTGAACAATTTGCCTCTGTCTGAAAAAAAATTGAAGTGATAGATCTTAAGTCATTTGCACGTATTATTTTGCTGAAAGCATGGGAAATGTCAGCTACTTCTCTTTGGCACAGGATTTTGAGGGACAATCTGCTCACCTGCTCGTGTGACATTTACTGGCTTCAGCAGTGGCACAGAAAAAGACTAAACGAAATTGATTCTCAGCAAAATTGCATTTACAATGGCAGCCAGATTCCGCTGGATTCATTCGAAATGGATAACTGCAGTAAGTGTGCTTATACGTCCCTATAGTTTTACTTACTTCCATTGCGGTTTAATATGCAAAGACAACAAGTTAGCCATTCACAGAAATGCATACTCACTGTGATGCTGTGTGTTTGGAGGTGGATTTATTAGGGAGAACATATGGGATCCACTCATATTTAAGGTTCATTTAGAAAATGAGCAGGCTTCATCTTCATCATTGGTCCAATAGTTAAGAATGACAGTTGATCTTCAAGCTCAGGGGTCTCAAACTGCCAGCCTGCGGGCCATTTACAGCCCACCCTTCTCCCTCCTCTGGCCTGTAACTGCCATCAAAAATATAATGCCATCAAAAATATAAAATATGTATTATAAATATGTAATTTTATAATATAATATATTATAAAATATAATATAATATATAAATATAAAATATAATGTGGCCTGCCAAAACATATATTTTTGAACCACTATCATTGTTGTGCATTGACATCCAGCCACTTGTGGTTTTGACTACTAGTCGACATTTAAAGTACTGCATTCAAATTACTTTTACTTTCATTTTCTCTCAGTGTTCGGCCAAGTAGCACATGTGTTTAATTGTGTGGCTGATTTAAACGTTAAAATATATGTCCGTAAGAGCTCTATTTTTACTAAAGCTCTATTTTTGTAAATAATCGAGGGGTGTTTGATTATTATCAGTTTTATACCTCTTGTATTTTGTTGTAAAAACAATTCTTCATGGCTTACATGTTATGCTGCTGGTGTAACACATATGATCATTTCATCATCATCATATGATAATCAGAGCAGGTGGGAAAAGAGAACCATTATCAAGTATGCAGATGACACTGTCATTGTCAGCCAACTTCATGATAATGAAACAGGTCATGGTCCAGTACTTACTAACTTTGTCAGATGGTGTGAGGAGTCATATATTCAATTAAATGTTTTAAAGACAAAAGATATGATCATTGATTTTAGGAAGGCTGCTCACACACAAGACTGTGGAAAGTGTGTAATCATACAAATACCTTGGCACAATTATTGACTCTAAACTTTCCTTTGATGAGAGTTGTGCAGCAGTGTGTAAAAAGGGGCACTAGTGACTATTTTGCTTGAGAAAGTTAAATCATTTCCATATCAATAAACACATGATGACTCTATTTTACCATGCTTTCCTTGAATCCGCTTTATCCTTTGCTTTGGTGTCATGGTTTGGGAATCTCTCTGTCAATAATAAAAACTCACTCAATCAAATAGTTAAGTGGTCCAGTAAGCTGACCGGGGTGTCACTAGCCAATCTAGAGGCTGTGTACACCAGGCAACTAAAGAGAATCACAAATTTAATTTTAAGAGACACAGCTCATCCCCTACACCAGGGCTCACCAATCTCGGTCCCGGAGGGCCACTGTCCCTGCAGGGTTTAGCTCCAACTTGCCTCAACACACCTGCCTGGATGTTTCAAGTATACCTAGTAAGACTTTGATTAGCTTGTTCAGGTGTGTTTGATTAGAGTTGGAGCTATAATTGCAGGACACCGGCCCTCCAGGAACAAATTTGGTGATCCCTGTCCTACACTAAGAGTTTCAGCTCCTTCCTTCTGGTTGCAGGTTTCTAGTATTAAGCTGTAGAACGAAACGATACAAAAATAGTTTCATACCAGCAGCCATTAGACATTTAAACAAGGCATGGACTAAAGCAGAGATGTTTCGGAGACTTGTATATTTTAGATCACTTTAAACATTTATCTGGGGGGGGGTGGACACTTGAAGTGATTATTTATGTATTCTTTATAAGTGTTTTTATGTTTATGTTTTATGTCTTATTGTTCATTTGTTGCTGTTACTATGCGAGTTCCTTTGTGTGGCATTGTTATGAGATGAGGACTCCTGACTGCAAACCAAATCTACCTTTGGGTAAAAAGTAACCTAACCTAATCCTAATTTTGCTAATATTCTAATCAAATGATTTCATTTAATATATTTTTCTGATTATAATACACACAACCACAGATATACTTCAGCAGCTGATGTGTGACATGGTAAACGTGCTGATTTGCATTATCACTGGTGACAGGGAACGCTTGAAATATAAACGTCATGTCTGTTATCCCATGATGCAACATTTAGATCAGGTTTCCACTTTTTTTCTTGTACTTAAATGTTAAAACGGCCCTCTTATGAATTGTCAGTCACTGAAATGGCCTCCCCGCCAATTTGAGTTAAAGACCACTGCTTTAGCTAATATGGCTCTGGAACAGTCATATGGAATTGCATCTTTTATAAACGTGTGGAATGTGGGAACAAGAGCAAAAGGAAAAAACGACAAGCACACAAAACACTCAAAAAAACTGATTTGATTAGCATTTAGGTTTCAGTTTTGTGCAATTTAATTCTAAACGCATTTTCATTTTGATTCATGCTTATTATCCTTTGGCAAGTGAACTTGTCGTTTCTTATTCTGCATTTAGTTTTAGCTTTTGCGCGTTATAATTTTACTCACACTGACAATTTTTTGATTTGCGCTCATTATTTTTCGATTTACGACCACGATATATTTGGCGGGATTTTGATCCCATAAGACCATTATGAAACTAATAATTATTTCAGATTAAAATACATAGTTTTTCTTAAAGATGAAACTAAATTGTCATGATGGTTACTTTACTACATTACATTCACTAGTGTTCAAAAGTTTGGAGGCAGGAAGATTTGTTTTACAAGAACAGTTTAGATTGTGGTGAATTATTGTCTAATGCATGTCAATTAGTTTAATTTTTAATTTTATGGGAAGAAAATACAGATCAGATTGTACAAATTCATATGAGTTAGCCACTAATCTGTCAAAATTAAATAAAATACGTTACACACTTGAGATGGATTTTTAAACACATTCGACATAAGTTGCTTATGCTCACCCTTGCAGGTTTTTGATTAAAAATACAGTTATATTGTGAAATATTATTACAAATTAAAAGCTAAATATGTTTTAAAATGTATATCTGTGTATATCTATATATAATTATTTTTTTCAGAAATCATCCAAATTTGCTGATTTACAGCTAAAATGTTTTTATTACCAATATTTTAAACTGTTATTGGTGGAAATCAAGACCTTTTCAAGATTTGTGGTGTTTAAAAGCTTAAAAAGACAACGTGAATTGGAAATAGCAAGCTTTTGTTACATTCTAAATGTTTTACTGCCACTTTTGATCAGTTTAAAATGCATCTGTGTGAAATTAAAGTGTTTATTTGAAGCAAAATGTTGCCACATTTTATACGCTCACACATTTCAGATGATCATGTTGTTCTTCTCTTTCCCCTATCACTTCCATTTTCAAAATGTTTCTGTGATCTGCAGGTGTTCCTGAGGTCATGATTGACCCACCGACAGTGACCACTCAAGAAGGTGGAAATTTGACATTTACCTGCAGAGTGACTGGAGTTCCCACACCGACGATCCACTGGAGAACTGAGCAGCTTCGGTCCAGCTGGACCCTGGAGGTACATGAGACATCTATGGAAACTGACCATATAAGTATATCACTGGATCAGAATTACTTGTTGGCACTGGCAACATAAAACACAGGCAACACAATGATTAGATTAGATTCAACTTTATTGTCATTACACATCTACAAATACAAGGTAACAGTATGCAGTTTAGCTCTAACCAGGAGTGCAAAAGCAGCAAGTTCAGGATATAGGTATAATTTATAAGTGCACTTATAGAAAACTATGGGTAAAATGTTCAGATGGATGTACTATAAACTTAATATACAAATAAACCGGTTGTATGTGATCTATGTAATGATCTGTGATCTAATTAACTATGTAATGACAATAAACAAAGTACCAGTAAAAGCAAATCTGGTAAAGTTTCTGCTGAAGACGCTCCCCTTTATGAGTGGAACAAATAACATGTATTTGTGTGTGTTTCTATAAATGCAAATGAGCTACTGCTCCCGCCCACCTTTTCAGAAGAGGGCGGAGCCTTTATAGATTGTACCCTGATAGCTCTGGCAACAACAAACAAATCACTGGCATGTTTAAAAGCCTTGTCAATTAAAAGTTCTGTAATCCAGATTTCTAACACACACACACAAAGTAGGCCACCTTTTTGAGAAAGTAGGTCACCTAATTTTATTGTAAGAAAAAGTATATAAAAACACACACGTTCACATAATGTTGGGTATGTCTGTAAATGTGAACTGTTAAAGGGATAATTCACCCAAAAATAAACACATTTTGTTATAATTTAATCACCCTTCACTTGTTCAAAAGCTGTTTGAGTTTTTTCTCAATGTCTTCTGCATCTGTTGAACACAAAGGAAGGTATTCTGAAGAATGTTGAAAAAAACAAAAAAAAAGCCATCGACTTCCATTTTTTGTTCCTACTATGGATGTCAATGAATGTTTTTTTTTCCAACACTAGAATTTCACTGAATATCAATTTTATAAAAATGCCTTTTCAGCAATATAGTGTGGAAGAAGATCGCTTCAGAAATGCTAGATGAAACGCCAGTGTGGAAGGGAATCGTTTTCATTCTAAAATGCCATTTTAAAACTAAGACGTATTAGTGTAAACGAGGCCTGAGTGTGTTTTTGACGAGTGATTTGCTGCTGCGACAGTTGCGGGGTGGAAGATTGCGATGCCGGCTCAGCGTTGTGATGTCTATCGACCCAACCCTATTATATATATAGGCATAGTTCATAAATAGTTTCTGCATATATAGCCATATATGAACACCAATATAAAACTATAACTAATATATTGTATGTTTGGTTGATATGGTTGGAAAAAGGGGTCCGCTTTTCTATATGTCTACAAATATGTTGCGTATATGACATATGTTAAATACTGTTCGTGAAAGCCGAATATCCACTATTTTGTCATATATGTAAATTAAATAAATCAGATTTCTATGTAGTGAGCATAACTGGCATAACTTTTAATCAAATGTTGTTCAGTTGTTTACATGCTCAGACAGTTAAACCTGTACTGTTGTCCACAGCAAGGAATCTGGGGATCAACCCTGGAGGTGGTTCTGCACATGAGAAATGTGTCTTCTGCTGACAACCTGCACAACCTCACCTGTGAAGCGGAGAATCGCGCTGGAATGGGAGATGCTGTGGTGCAGCTGGACATTGAATGTAGGCACTGACATCTTTCTGCTCTTTATATTTCGTCCATTTTTTCCCTCTTTAATGCTCTCGCCTTTCTGACAAAAAAAAAAAAAACTAAATATTTTGCATAAATGTTCGGCAGCACAATTGAATTCTGATGGAAACTTGTTTCTGCATCTGAATACAAATAAAAAAAGTAAAGCTGCGAGATGTGAAATTGCTAAGATTTTGATTTATCAAGTGGAAATCTCTTATTTAACTTTTTTATTTTAGGATTCTGAATATCAAATAAGCTTTGGCTGTTTCTATAGCAGACCTACATATGTGATTACTGAAACCAAATGTTGAACTGACTAACAAAGCCAAAATAAGCCTAAAACAAATATGTACTTATATATATATATATATATATATATATATATATATATATATATATATATATATATAAAGAAGCAATTCCATGCAAATGTCAACCTTGCCATACTTAAAAAATACTGACAAATGTCTCTGTCAGTGTTTTTAAACAATTATATTTAATTTGCCAAAGTCACACAAATTGCAATTTCACATCTGTCACATCCATAACGACACTTTTTCCTCTTAAATGCAAAGATGTAAAATCAAATAAAAGCAATTATGTTTGTTCTATAGAGAGCCAACTCTTATCCTCTTCAATAGCATGGTTTCTTTTGGGTTGTGCAGTTTAATTCACAGAATTTTTACAAAGTATGTTGTATACTGTAAACTTGCAGTCTTTTTTTGTCACATCCGTAACGCATGTTTATTTTCCTCATTTAAAATATAAATAATGTTTACAGCTTGATATTATTCTGCTCCCACAACTCTGTGGCTAGTTGTTTTGAGATGTTTCAATATAATGTTAACATATACTTCCTATGTTAATTTATGTTTTGAGATTTTACTGCAAATGTCACATCCATAATGCTGGTACTGCTCATATATATATATATATATATATATATATATATATATATATATATATATATATATATATGTTTTTTATGCTTTTATGTTTATGTTTTAAACTTATTTTTCATTTGAACAATGTATCATTTTAATTAAAAATTTTTAAATAGTAATATTCAGAATCAGTAATAATGTAGCGTCACTAAAGAGGCTATTATAGCTCTCAATTAATATTCTGAAGTAGTTTTTAATTTTTTTATTTTTTCAATTTGTAAAGTTGTACTAATTTTGTTGATTTGTCATTTCTATGACTTTTTTATTTCTATATAATTTCATGTTTATTAGTTGTAGTTAAGGTTAACTAAATTAAATTTTGCATTACCAACTTGAATTTGTAGGTTTCATTAAATTTTGTTCCTGTTTTAATTCAGTTAAACATTTTTATAAATGTATTTCTGTTTAGTTTAATAATTTTTGGTGTTTTTTTTCACATTTATTAACAGTTTTGGCTTAAATCAAAACACTGTAAATTAACATAGGAAATCCTTTAAATCAGCGTTTCTCGACCATGTTCCTAGAGGACCACCAGCTCTGCACATTTTCAATGTCTCCTTAAACAAACACACCTGATTCAAATTAACAGCTCATTAGCCAGACACTGAAAGACCTGTAATGGGTGTGACAGACAAAGGAGCCATCCAAAACACGCAGTGCTTGTGGTCCCCGAGGAGAATGGTTGAGAAACACTGCACTAGATGAACTAGTTATACAAACTATACAAGACTAATAACAAGATATAAACCTAACAAACTAATTACGACCATCCTTAAATTAGTTTTGTTTAGATTTTTCGATTCATTTCTTATTTCCAGAAACATCATCCAACACATCCCTCATTTTTATAAAGTCAAACATTTCCTCAAATTTTTTTATATTTTATTTCATTTTTCTGCTTTATCTTGATACATATACTTCGTTCATAGTTTGTTTACGATAATAACCCCACTCTTGACCGGGTCAAAAACATAGCAGCGACCGAGAATTTTTCATTGAAAATCCAGCCATACGGCCGCACTCCACACCGCAGCAATTATCAGTGTTTATCACCTCCTCTTCAAAAAGAAGAAAAACAGTGCTTGACTTCAGACAAATGTATGGCCATCAGGGGAGCGATAATGACTGTCAGGAAAATGGGATGATAACCGTCTTCAGATCTTGTTTGTTCTCTACTAATGGATTTCTCTCCCCCATAGTCCGGAAATATAATTGTGAGGGCTGATTGGCAGATAGCAAGTGTGCAAGTCTATCAGAATCACATGACTAGTGAAAAACGGCTCGTTTACGGCCACAGCTTAATTAGCACAGAAATTAGCAGAGCGGTTATAGCAGTGTGCACACAAAATACTAAGCCATATGGCGTTAAATGAAAATCAGGTTATTCAGTGTTGGCCGCCAATAAACTTTGTACTGATTTGTTTGAGAAATTTACAGTCGAGCAAGTGCTGAAACTGAAAGATCCTCACAAAAAGTTATAGTCTGAAATAACTTGAGGAAATTATGATCCGGGCAAGGTGGTGGCGCAGTAGGTAGTGCTATTGCCTCACAGCAAGAAGGTTGCTGGTTCAAGTCTCGGCTGGGTCAATTGGCATTTCTGTGTGGAGTTTGCATGTTCTGACCGCGTTTGCGTGGGTTTCCTCTGGGTGCTCCGGTTTCCCCCACTAGTCCAATGACACGCGCTATAGGTGAATTGGATAAACTTAAATTGTCCAAAGTGCGAATGAATGTGTATGGATGTTTCCCAGTGATGGGTTGCAGCTGGAAGGGTAAAACATATGCTATATAAGTTGGCGGTTCATTCCGCTGTGGCGACCCCAGATTAATAAAGGGACTAAGCCGAAAAGAAAATAAATAAATGAATGAATGAATGATTAAACAATACTACTGTATATTAAAATGTTTTTTTAAGTCAGTTTTTGTTTTTATGTATTCGGGTCACATTTAAATTTTATTGTAATTCCAGTGTATAATTAAATTTTTTTATATTTCTCCTATTTATATTAATGTTAATATATATATATATATATATATATATATATATATATATATATATATATATATATATATATATATAGCCATTATATATTATAGAAATTTTTTGGATTAGTCTTTATTTTATTTTTTCACTGTAGAGGTTAAATATGTTGTTTTAATTGTTACTTATATATTTTTGAACTGCTATTGGTGGATCTCATGTGATCCTTTCTCGAGCCAGTAAACAATGAATTTAGAAGAGATTGGAGAGCAAGGAAAAGTTATTTAAAAAAAAAAACTACAAGGTCACACAAATGTTTAGGAAATAATAATAAATCATTAAAAATAAATAATGCAATATTCCAGTAAGATTAGGAATGGTAAATTCCTGTTCAATTGTGGCTTTAAAATAAAATTATGTTGTTAATTTGGTTCTAAGTGGCTTTATACATTTTATTATCTTCAGTTACAAGAAGATAATGATAAATTACAAATGGCACTTTGAGAGTCAAAAAATAATACTGGTATGGCATACATAATGCAGCATTTTTGGCAGTTTTCACCAATGTGTAGATACTGTACATTATTTTCTGAAAAAGTCTTGTAGACATGAAACTTTTTTAAAAGAAGTAGTTTTCTTCATTGTTGTCATGTAAATTAAGCTTTAGACTTTTAAGATGCCAATAGCATTTGCATTTTATCACCACAGAACCACAGTTTAAGCAAAAAAATTGCACCTTGATGTCAAAACGACATAAAAAGAACACATTAAAAATGCAAATCAATTTGATGCAATTGACTACCCTGATATCAATATGACATCATATTTACATTTAAAATTGGCAACAAAAACAATGGGACAATGTTAGATGTCAACTTGATGTTGTTTTAATATGTTGTTTATATGCAGTGTAGAGATACAAAATCCAGTGATACAATTTTTGTTTTGTTTTCTTTTTGCACCAATATTCTGGGGGTCAAAAGGGCATCAATGAGTGAATGTCAAATAGACGTCAAGGTTTTGACATCAAATTGATTAGCATTTTTGATATGTTTTTGACGTCTTAATTGGTATTTGATGTTAATTGACTACCTTAACGTCAAAACGACATCAAAATGACATCTAAAATTGGCATCAAAAAACAATGGAACAATATAAGACGTTAATTTGATGTCATTTTAACATCAAGGTATATGTCCATGCATTGTAGGGATACAAAATCAAGTCTAATTTTGGAATTTGGAATTGAAACTTCCACATTAATTCAAAATTTCCTATATTATAACACTTTTTATGCCATGATTCTAATGGTCAAAAGGGAATCAATGTGTGGATGTCAGAGACGTCAAGGTTTTGACATCAAATCGATTAGCGTTGTTGACGTGTATTTTGACGTCCTGCTTGACATTTGATTGTCTACTGACCTTGATATCAAAACACCATCAAAATGACATCTAAAACTGGCATTAAAAAATGGAACAATATTAGACGTCAATTTGATGTCATTTATGTATTTTTATGTAATTATGATGTAATTTATGAATTTGGAATCAAATCGGAATATGATGAATTAAAAATTTCTTATATTATAACACTTTTTATACCATTATTCTGGTGGTCAAAAGGGTATCAATATGTGGATGTCAAATAGACGTAAAGGTTTTGACATCAAATCAATTAGCATTTTTGACATGATTTGACATCTTGCTTAAGGTAAAATGACTACCTTGATGTCAAAACAACATCAAATGGACCTCTATAGTTGGGATCAAAAACAGTGGGACAATGTCAGACGTCGATTTGATGTCATTCTAACGTCAAGGTATATTTACATGCATTGTAAAAATACAAAATCCAGACGCTTTTCATTCATTAATTTTCTTGTCAGCTTAGTCCCTTTATTAATCCGGGGTCGCCACAGCGGAATGAACCGCCAACTTATCCAGCAAGTTTTTACGCAGCGGATGCCCTTCCAGCTGCAACCCATCTCTGGGTAACATCCACACACACATTCACACACACACACTCATACACTACGGACAATTTAGCCTACCCAATTCACCTGTACCGCATGTCTTTGGATTGTGGGGGAAACCGGAGCACCCGGAAGAAACCCACGCGAAGGCAGGGAGAACATGCAAACTCCGCAAAGAAACGCCAACAGAGCCGAGGTTTTGCTTGTACTGTAATTCTTTTTGAGTCTTTATTCTGGTGGTCAAAAGGGCATCAATGTGTGGATGTCAAATAGACGTCAAGGTTTTGACATGAAAAAAAAAAAGTCAAAAATGCTAATCGATTTGAAGCTTGACGTTTTGACATCAAGGTGCCAACTAGAAAAGAAATACATCTGGAGCATCTTGGATTGCCAACAGGTAAACAAATTAACAGCAGATTTTCAACAAACCCAGACGCCAATCGATAACATAATGCTTGTATAGCTTTAGTTACAGCCTCAGCGTTCTGTACTTCCATCTAACTATAGCTCCAGATGAAGACATCCACCTTTGCCTGTCTACCTTAACTGCAACTCAATAATTGGATACAATTATTTAATTCCACTTGATTACCACAATTAGCGTAGTTCACAGATGGCTCGCCAACCGCTCAACCACTAACATGGGGTCGGTCTAACGAGGATGGTTCTTCAATTGTGAACTCCAGGCCACGACACAAATGACTGTGAATCTCAGAGCGCAGCACTTTTCCACATACAGGTCACAGGTTAAGAGCAGAGAAATGGTTATGGAGCATCAGCATCTTCTCCCGGCTAAAAGAAACCATTTCCTGCATCCCACCTTCAATTGCCTCTTGTGGTTAGGTCCCCTAAACAGATAGATATTTATTATTTATAACAGGTCAACAGGTTTACTGTAAAGATGGAGCACATTGATTCATGGAGAAAAAAAATGATGATGGATGCGTCACTTATTTGAGCTATTCTAGATACAGGCCAGCAATATTTATATAGGAACATTATGGGATTTTTTTAACAAACCGTGCAATGATGTTTGACCAATTTGTTTATACATCTGATTCTTCATAGGGAAGCCTGTCAAATTAGTGATTGAAAACCAATAGCTGAGTAACTTCAAAGTTGCAAAACTAAAACACTTTTGGAAATCTGCTTTATTAAGTTTCAGTGGGGGAAAAGAAAACGCAAACAAAAAAATTAATACATAAACAAAAAAAACTATGTGCAGTATGAATATTTAAAATAATTGTATTATTTTAAATAATTATTGAAGTCAGTAAAAGGTCTGCTGTAATTACTTTAATTAACTGCATGTATTTTGATTAATTTATTGATTGTCTTTAAATATTATATTATTTTATATTAACTATATTATATTACTAATTTCCTCAGACATTAATTCTGAGCTATTTTCACAAATATTGCAATACTAATATCATATTACTATAATATATAGAATATAGAATATTATATTACTATCTTTGCATAAATTGCCGTATTATTTTATAGTAAATAATTTAAGATTGCACGCTAAATAATAAATTTTATGGAATTATTTTAATATGTATTATTTTGTGCACATAATTCATGATTGTGACAGTCCTAGTCAATAATTAATCAATAATAATCATTAATCAAAAAATAACAGATTGTCTTTAAATATTAATATATTATATCATATTATATTAATTTCCCTAGAAATTAAAATAATTAATTCTGAGCAATTTTCACTTATTCTACACTATTAATATATCACTAAGAATTCAATCACAAATCAAAATAAAGAATATTTTATTACTATTTTTGCATAAATTGTTGTATTATTTTATAGTAGTAAAGTTAAGATTACACTAAGTGACATGAACAAAACAAAATTGAATAATTAACTGTAATTTATTATGCATTATTTTCTGCACTAAAGTCATGTTCGTGACAGTTCTAGTCAATAATTAATCAGTAATTATAATTAATCAATAAATTTACTGATTGTTTTTAAATATATCATATCATATATTAATTTCTGAGCTATTTTCACTAATATTGCAACACTAATCTCACTAATATATCATTAATATTCCAAAAACACATCTAATTAAAGAACATTATTTTACTATTTTTGCATAAATTGTTGTACATTTTATTTTAAATAAGTTAAGATTGCCCTAAGTGACATAAACAAAATGGAAATAAATTATTAATGGTAGTGTATTACTTTATTATGTATTATTTTCTGTACATGATTTCATGATTCATGATTATGACAGTCCCAGTCAACGATTAAAAATCCTAAATAAGAGTAACAATTTATGTATGTTATTATATGCTATTAAATTTGTTAATTGTATATAATTGTTGTTGTATAGCTATGAAATAACCTTTTTTTCTTTGAGTTTAAAACTTGAATATTTATTACCTTGGCATTTAAAATTGTGCATGTCATATACTTTTTTTTTGGATATTCCTTTCCTTTTCTTGGCTTATTTCTATTTTACAGCACCATGGTCAACTGCTGTTTTGCTTATTGGTGCTTAATAAATGCATTAAAGGAAACATAATAATAAAATAACATTATTTAATAACACATTATTCTCTACATATCATGCTGTGTACAGTGCATCTGGAAAGTATTCATAGCACCTCAATCCTGACCAGTCTTCCAGTTCCTGCTGCTGAAAAACATCCCCACAGCATGATGCTGCCACCACCAAGCTTCACTGTAGGGATGGTATTAGCCTGGTGATGAGCGGTGCCTGGTTTTCTTCAAACGTAACGCCTGGCATTCACTCCAAAAAGTTCAATTTTAGTCTCATCAGACCAGAGAATTTAGTTGCTTATGGTCTGAGAGTCCTTTAGATGCCTTTTGGCAAATTCCAGGTGGGAAGAGGCTTCTGTCTGGCCACTCTATCATACAGGCCTGATTGGTGGATTGCTGCACAGATGGTTGTCCTTCTGTAAGGTTCTCCTCTTTCCACAGAAGAATGTTGGAGCTCAGACAGAGTGACCATCGGGTTACTGATCACCTCCCTGAAAAAGGCCCTTCTCCCCTGATCACTCAGCTTAGATGGCCGGCCAGCTCTAGAAAGAGTCCTGGTGGTTCCAAACATCTTCTACTTATGAATGATGGAGGCCACTGTGCTCATTGGAACTTTCAGAGCAGCAGAAATTTTTCTGTAATCTTCCCCAGCTTTGTGTCTCAAGACAATCTTGTCTCGGAGGTCTATAGACAATTCCTTTGTCTTCATGCTTGGTTTGTGCTTTGACATGTACTGTCAACCCTGGGATCTTATATAGACAGGTGTCTGCCTTTTCAAATCTTGTCCAATCAACTGATTTACCACAGGTGAACTCCAATTAAGCTGCTTAACATCAAAGCTTCACGCCAAAGGCTGTGAATACTTCTGTACATGTGATTTTTCACCTTTTTTTATTATAAATTTGCAACAATTTCAAAAAACTTTTTTCACATTGTCATTATGGGGTATTGTGTGTAGAATTTAGGAAATACATAATTCAATCTATTTTAGAATAATGCTGTAACATAAAAAAAATGTGGAAATAGGCAAGCGCTATAAATACTTTCCAGATGCACTGTAAAATAAATGCACAGCCAAAATAAAACAAACAACACTTTCTCCAGAAGAAAAAATATATTTTAAATATACTTCAAATACTGTAAAAAAAGCCTTGTTCTGTTAAACATCATTTAGGAAATATTTAATAAAAGAAATCCACAGGAGAGCTAATCATTGTGACTTCAACTGTGCGCGTCTTACTGCACACACATGTAATGTCTCTGTCTGTGTTCCAGTTCCAGTGCGGATCATATATCTCAAGAACCCAGAATCTCAACATCACTGGTGTTTCCCGTTCGCCGTAGACAGCAATCCTCCCGCCAGCATCAAATGGCTGTACAACAACATGCCTCTCACTGAGACCCGCTATGCCTACACTGAACTCATCAGAGACGTGTACGACGGCTCACAGCAACACGGCTGTCTGTTCCTTAACAAACCCACTCATCTCAACAACGGCAACTACACAATCATCGTGAAGAACAAACTGGGCAGAGACCAGAGAACAGTCCGAGCCAAGTTCATGGACAATCCTTTTGATCCCTCTGACCCGGAGGGCATCATCCCTGGTGAGGGCACTTCATCTAAATTATATTACACCAACTGTGTGGTGCATTGAGTAATTGTTTGTTGTATTCTCTCTCTTTTCACATGCCAGTGCTCAATGACGACCCAAGTAAGTTACTCTATATAAGGTTAAATGTCTAAATGTTGTTAAAAAGGGTAGTTCACCCAAACACCAAAAACACTGTCAACATTTATTCACCCTTAATGAGTTTTTTCTTCTTTGGAATAGAAAAGAGGATATTAAGTTGGAAACCTGTAACTATTCACTTTCATAATATTTGTTTTTCCTATTATGGAAGTCAGTAGTATTAAGCAAGTTTTCAGCATTCAGAAAATATTATTTAGTGTTTAACAGAGGAAAGAAACTCAAAGGGCTCTATCATACACTCGGCACAATAAGGCTCAGGATGTGTTTGGTGCGATTTTTTGCTATTTTCAGACCAGCGCAAAGTAATTTTATCATTTTGTGCCACGTTGTTTCAATAGCAAATTAATTTGCACCACTTTGTGGACTCATGGGTGTGCCGGTCTGAAAAGGAGGTGTGTTAAACCATGTTACTATTTTGAGGAACTAAAATAGACCACACCATTGACCAAAGCAGGTCTAAAATCCAGCGCAGAGCGTGTTAGTTATGCGCATATGCAGGTCCAAACACACAGGATGTACAGCAATACACAGATATCTTTACATATGAAAATGTTACAATTATTATTTTCTACTTAAATATAAAAACCACTACCTCCATATCTTCTTCATGCCGGGGGGATGTTTTCAGTTTATTTATGACTATCTGCTTTTGTATAATGTTATTATTATTAGCAGTATTATTTATAATATTCATATTTATGTATTTGTTTTAATAAAACAAGTTCAGATTTGTCCACCTGTCAGGTTTTGGAGATGTATGCATCACCATATGGGGCATAAGAATAGGATGTGTGTTTGGATATAACTTTTTTTTAAACCACACTTTGTTATTATTGATCATTTATTCATTCGCTGAAAGTTAGAACTGAATTTAGAAATAGTTTTATAACAAATATTTGCGCTTAAAAAATTAAACATGTAAGCTAATGAATGTTTTCTGTGTAGTGCGTACAACAATGTTTCCTTACTCTTTACTTACTAAATGGAGTAAAGTAAAGAGTAAAAGACAAGAGAAAGTAAAGAGGCCGAATGGAGGAGGCTTGTTCTTTATCCTCGTGCTGCAGGTGGTCTGTTTAACTGTTTTCTCTCTAGTGAAGTGTTGTCTTGAAGTCCGCCATGTAAATAGCAAATGCACAATGGCGTGATGCAACTGACTCTTAAAGGGAATGGGAGATCAGACTCTGACTTGGTTTAATGCACGTTATGCTCAAAACACACCCAGAACTCATTAAGAGAATAAGCACAATCCTGTTAGACCATGCGCCAGAGAGCACAGAATGTTTTTCCATCTTTAAAATAGCAAAAGTGGATTCGGACACGTCCTTAATGCGTTTGCGACATGCGCTTTACATTTTGCGCCTAGATCAGGGATGTCAACTTCAATTCCTGGAGGGCCGCAGCCCTGCACAATTTAGTTTTAACCCTGCTCCAACATACTTACCTGTAGGTTTCAAACAAGGCTGAAGGACTCAATTAGTTTGATCAGGTGTGTTTAATTAGGGTTGAAACTAAACTGTGCAAGGCTGCGGCCCTCCAGGAATTGAGTTTGACATCCCTGGCCTAGATCATTAAAATAGAGCCCATAAAGGTTTGAAACCACTTGAGGGTCAGTAAATAATGTGTAAACTCTCATTTTGGGATGAACTATCTCTTTAACTCATATTTATTTGTATTAAAATCCTTTTTTTCTCATTTTTCTAATGCGAAAACAAAATCTTTCTGAAGCAAGCAAAGAAAAAAAACATAATTGTGAAATATACTAATATATATATATATATATATATATATATAAATTTTTTATTTATATTTTGTTTAGTTTTAGACATGAAAAGTTCAGAAGCTTGGAAACGTTGAGATTTCAAATATAAAGGTGATATGCTGCTGTGTTATGATCAGTTATTGCTGGTGCTCAATCATCTTACAATGTGAAATGTTTTATTTATGCCTTAAGTTTTATGACAATGCATTTACCATTTATGTTTGATTAATTTAATGATGATAAAATATTTTATTTAATAGTATTTTTGAATGTCATTATGTACATGGTTTCTTCTAAAAATGAAAATAAAGAGCCAAAAAGGTTCGACATTGCTATAGTTTTTCTCAGTCGCTTTATTACATTTCTCAGATCTGAAATAAAATTTGCTAAACAGTAAGTGCATCTCGTGTACAAATAGGAAAACACCATGGATTACCTGCAAAAGGCAGTCTCTTGCTCATAATCCTTAGTTCATCTCTCAAAACAACATTTCAGTGTTAAAAACTTGTCAGTGACCTCAGAATGACTAGTCCTTGTGTCATTGTTACTTAGTCATGTTGTCAATATTACAGTGTACTCTGGAGAGGTCTTCTGATGTAATCTATGCCAATTATTTTACCCTATTTGTACTGTAATTTGTTGACGATCATGTCATTGTGATACAAAAAGGAAAAGACAGCACTGTATAGTGCAAAGTACAAACCTGAACACAGAACAATCTCTTTTGAGATGCACCTTCATTAGAAAATGTCAAGATTCACCTGGGAGAAATTAACTAATTGTAGACTGAATTAGATTAAAAGTCTAATGGAAATGTTTAGGAAAATACACTATGAGAGAAATGTTGACAACTTGTTCAGCCATTTTGCATGTAAATACTTGCCATGAAGGATTAAATGCTGTGGGGGGTGAGACTACTCAACAGAGACCAATATAATAAATTTTGATCAACATGACATAAGCAATTGATAAAGTAGGAAACATCAGAGAATTGCACATAATCCTTTGTATGGATGTACAAAAGCATTTGCAGCTCGTTCAAAGGAATGAGAATCTGCTTTTTTGATGTGCACAAGTGACGCAGTGGTCTGAAGACTGAGCAGGTAGTTTTGAGAATCTGAGAAATGTACCAAAACCACTCAGAAAAACTGCAATAGGAATTTTTTTCTTGAAAAGCAGATCATCGTATTAAAATGATATCTGATGGATCACGTGACAGTGTATTTATGATGCTGAAAATTCTGCCTTGAATCACAGGAATAAATTACAGGCTGAACTATATTTACATGTATTTACACTGTCTTTTTAAATTGAAATAATATTTCACAAAATTACAGTTTTTACTTTTTGATCAAATAAATGCATCTTTTAATAAAAAGACAATTTTTCTTCCAAAAACAACTTATAATTTCATGCAGCATGTGTAAATATTATTTATTAAAGTAACATTTCATTAAATGCTTCCACATTAGCAGCTCCCACTAACCAATCAACGGAGACGGAGAAAATAGAGAGCAGAGTGTTTGGGGTAAGAAACGAGTCACAGAAAATGTATAACCTTTTTTTTTATATCTCTTCTCAATCTAATTTTGTCTATTTGCATGTCCACAGGTGTCAGTAGCTGTGGGCCTCGCTGTGTTTGCGTGCACATTTCTGCTCATCATGGTTGTTGTCATTAATAAATGTGGACAGCACTCCAAGTTTGGCATCCACCGTAAGTTTTTCTAACAAAATACAGGCTTAAATGTCTAAATAAAATCATAATCTTTTTATATTCTCAATGCATGTCCCTGGTTTAATTGTGCATGTCGTTCCAACTTATCTTCTACATTTTTTGCACATGACACAACTTTTTCTTTATATTTCTTAAAAAGTTCTTATGGTCTACTCTACACACTGAAGGGAAAATATATTTGTTATGATTGATTGATTATTTTTTCTTTTATATGTGTCAATATTCCATTTCAGATGGAAATCATCATACTGAAAAAAACGTCTGCAGCAACTGCCGGTTCATGCAAACACAGTTGATTTCAAAATTATTAGCCCCTCTGTATATATATTTTTTTCCAAAATTTCTGTTTAGCGGACAGAAGATTTTTTTTTAGCACATTTCTAAACAGTTTTAATAAATCCTTTATAATAACTGAATTATTTTATCTTTGCCATGATGACAGTACATAACATATTACTATATAGTTTCCAAGATGCTAGTATTCAGCTTAAAGTGACATTTAAAGGCTTAACTGGGTTAATTAGGCAAGTTGAGGTAATTAGGCAAGTCATTGTATAACGATGGTTTGCTCTGTAGACAATCAAAGTCTTCTAATAATATTGACCTAATTTTTTTTTAAAATTCAAAAACTGCTTTTATTCTAGCTGAAATAAAACAAATAAGACTTCCTTCAGAAGAAAAAATATTATCAGACATACTGTGAAAAATCCCTTGCTATTAAACATTACTTGGGAAATAGTTGAAAAAGAATTCAAAGGAGTCATTTCAGTGACTGACAATTCATAGAAGGGCCTTTTAAACATTCAAGCACAAGAAAAAAAAGTGAGGTAATTGATGCATCCTAGGACAACAGACCTGATGTTTACATTTCAAGCATTACCCGTGATAAGGCGAATCAGCACATTTATTGCTTTACACAGCTGCTAAAATATATCTGTGCCTGTTTAGATTAGCATTTTGACATTTAAATAGTCATAATAATGATAATAATAAATATTATTATTCTGTCCCTACCAATTTTTGCTTCACCAAAAGTTTATAGCACAAGAAGAGCAGAAACTATGAGTAACTATACTGACTTATGAAATAATATCTCAGAAATAATATCAGTATTGATAGCCCCGCCCTAAAGCCATTCCATGTGACCAGAAGTGAAAAAAGTAGTTTCGAGGGAGGAGGAAAGGTTATGGTATTTGATTAAAGATTATGATGCTAAATTAGTTTTTACAAAATATTGACATGCACAGATACGTCATTTATAAGAAGCACTACTATACACTCACCGGCGACTTTATGAGGTAAACCTGTCTAACTGCTTGTTACTGCAAATTTCTAATCAGCCAATCACATGGCAGCAACTAAATGCATTTAGGCGTGTAGACATGGTCAAGACGATCTGCTGCAGTTCAAACCGAGCATCAGAATGGGGAAGAAAGGGGATTTGAGCGACTTTCAATGTGGCATGGTTAGTTAGTGCCAGACAGGCTGGTCTAAGTATTTCAGAAACTGCTGATGTACTGGGATTTTCACGCACACCCCTCTCTAGGATTCACAAAGAATGGTCTGAAAAAGAGAAAATATGCAGAAAGCGGCAGTTCTGTGGGCACAAATGCGTTGTTGATGTTGATGTGGTCAGAGGACAATGGCCAGACTGGTTCCAGCTGATAGAAAGGCAACAGTAACTCAAATAACCACTTGCTACAACAGAGGTATGCAGAAGAGCATCTCTGAACACACAACATGTCCAACCTTGAGGCGGATGGGCTACAGCAGCAGAAGACCACATCGTGTTACACTCCTGTCAGCTAAAAACAGGCTACAATTCACAAATGCTCACCAAAAATGGACAATAGAAGATTGAAAAAACGTTGCCTGGTCTGATGAGTCTCAAGTTCTGCTGTGACATTCAGATGGTAGGGTTAGAATTTGGGGACAACAACATGAAAGCATGGATTCATTCTGCCTTATATCAACGGTTTAGGCTGGTGGTGATGGTTTAATGGTGTAGGGGATATATTCTTGGTACACTTTGGGCACCAATTGATCATCATGTCAATGCTACAGCCTACCTAGTATTTGAGTATTGTTGCTGACCATGTTCATCCCTTTATGACCACAGTGTACCCTTCGTCTGAATGGTTACTTCCAGCAGGATAACGTGCCATGTCATAAAGCGCAAATAATCTCAGACTGGTTTAATTCCCATTATTGGGTTGCAGCTGGAAGGGCATCTGCTGTGTAAAACATATGCTGGATTAATTGGCGGTTCATTCCGCTGTGATGACCCCTCATGAACAAAGGGACTAAGCCAAAAGAAAATGAATGAATGAATAAATTTCCTTTTATGGACCCTTTTCACATTTCTCTCAGAAGCAGAAGTCATCATAGTTGGAAAACTCAGAGCGCAGTAAATGGGAGAGTACAACAATCATTTTTTGCTGTCCTATTTGCCGAAATAATAAAAGAAAAACTTCACAATGGTGTTCTTAAGACTTTCAGAAAAAAAGAAATTAAATAGTGTGAGACTGATAACGGCAGCCAGAAGAGAAAACAATGTCAAATTTATCATCTCGCCTCCATAGATGCTGCATTACAAACACCTCGCATAATGCCGAGTTCAGACTGCATGATTTTCAAAGTAGTTGTGTCACAGATGTTTTCACACTGCATGACTATCTGGGCTTGCGTTTCGTCGCTGCTTTGTTTACACTGCAAGATGGATTGGCGACAGGGGCTTTCTCATTGCATGACTTTACAATAGGAAGAATCGCCGACAACTTCGTCCAATCCACGTCTCACAGGTATTATGTGCATAATGAGAAAGAAGCCTTTAATGGGGTAGAAAATGTACATATTTGCTCACCTGGGTTTGAAGGAAATTAGCAATTTCTCCTCAACTTTTTTTTTTACTTTCTGTATGAAACGTCAAACAGACACGGGTGCTCCTGTCAAACCTCCACTAGTTTTTTCTCCATTTCTTGGCTCCAAATAAACTGAAAAGGAGCGCTTTTAACTTCTCCCCTAGCCTCCCGCTGGCCTGCAGGTACACACACAAGTGAATGCTGCTCTCTCATTGGCTGTAGGTGATCGCCGATGTTATTTTCAGTCAAAACTCATTTCACACGGCATAATTTGAATCGCCAATAGCTCCAGATATTCAGCACGACAAACATCTCACAGGCATTAGCGACTCATCTGCGAGTCTCTCAGATCACGTCTTTGATAGTTCATTACAAAATTATTGGTCCTTGTAAGTATTTTTTAACGGATTTGGCTAAGGGAGCTCTTAAAAACACGTCTTACTCCGTCATCGCTCAGTGGCGCCCCCGTCTTTGATAGTTCATACTGTGTGATTGTCACTCACGTGCACGAGCACCGATTTGCCTGTGATTTCAGGCATTTGTTAGCGATTTCTCAAAACCTGTCGGGGCTAAAATCATGCAGTCTGAACTCGGCATAAGTGGTATTTTGTTTTTGTAATTTAATGCAAATATGATTTAATGCATACACAAATGCATATAAATATACATAAAAATCTAAAAATTAAAAACTTTCAAGGATTTAAGATGCTGATGACCATTAAACGCGTCATAACAGTCTTGTGAAAACATTGGAACAGCACTAGAGTGACACAATAATTGAATGAACTATCCCTTTAAACAAGCCAGAGACAGCGCAATCACAGCCCATGCCAAAAAAAAGCGACTTCTCCATTATTATTTTGGAGTTCCACAGGAGGCATTGTGTTTCTTTTAAGTAATGCACAAAAAAGGCAGCAAAATACGGTCTCTTGGAAGCTGTAACTTTGTACAGTGTCAGCCTAACAGCTCGGCAAAGTGCTGCCAGGTCTTAATTACAGCATGCAAAGTAAATAGCATCGGGAGCCCCAGCCGCGAGCGAGCCATTAAAGAAGAGTGATGGAGCCAGGCTTTTCAGGTCCACTCGCTCCGTTCACAAAGTGCCTAAGTGGACCTGATTGCCTCCCTCCCCTCTCGCCCTCTATTCCCTGCGTTCCTCTTCTCTGCCCAGTCTGGGGTCTCTCTGTGGTTATTGCTTGAGTGGATTTCGTGATTTGTAGGAGAAGCTTTTTGCGTTTAATTCCGCTTCCTAAAACTGGGATCAAGTCAACAATCTGCTGGGTGTCTGTTTTGTCAGTGTGTGCGCTTGTTGTCAGTTTTAGATAACACTCAGTTCGTGCTGTTTGTTAAGGCAAGCATCACTCGTACTGATTCTCGCACTTATAGGGTTAGCCATCTGAACTAAATCCTAACCTCAAGTGTTAAATTACACTATGTAATCATTTGCGCCACATGATACCTCCAATCCTGCAGCTTGCTGAGGAAAGTTGTGTGACTACTTTTCTCTTTAAACCAGGGCTTTGTAATCTTCTAGAAGCCGCAGATGCCCAGATATAATCGTCCTTATGCTGTTTTTTGATTCATGAACACACAATATTTAATATTGATATTCAACTAATATTAGACAAGATAGAATAGAATATGTCTCTTTAAGGTCAGCATGGTGGTGCAGTGAGTAGCAAAATCCCCTCACCGCAAGAAGGTCACTGGTTCGAGCCCTGGCTGGGTCAGTTGGCATTTCTGTGTGGAGTTGGCATGTTCTTCCCGTGTTTACATGGGTTTCCTTCGGGTGCTCTGGTTTCCCTCAAAGTAAAAAGACATGTGGTATAGGTGAATTGGGGTAGGCTAAATTGTCCCAGGTGTATGTGTGTGAATGAGGGTGTATGGATGTTTCCCAGTGATGGGTTGCAGCTGGAAGGGTATCCACTGCGTATAGCGTATGCTAGATAAGTTGGCGGTTCATTCCACTATGGCGACCCCAGATTAATAAAGGGACGAAAAAAAAAATGAATAAATGAATGAATGTCTCTAAGGCGGCGCAATGGTGCAGTGGGTAGCGCTGTTGCCTCACAGTAAAAAGGTTGCTGGTTTGAGGCTCGGCTGGGTCAGTTGGCACTTCTGTGTGGACTTTGCATGTTCTCCCCGTGTTCTTCCCTGGTTTCCCCCACAAGTCCAAAGAGGACCCAAATCCCAGTGATTTTGAGGCCTACCGCAACATAACATAGGAGTGCAGTTTCCCCCACCCTCCGAACTGATTGACAGGCACCATGTTTCTATGATAACATGTATACACATGTCCACAAAACTTATTTTGCAAAGAAACTTTTAATTAAAACTTTGTTCCAACTCTGTGATTTTATAAGTTTAAAAGTTTTTAAAACAAAGAATGTTTGTAATAAAGACAGCAAAATTGTCATGTAATTCTTAACCGCTATAATCACCACGGCCGCATGGTTACAGTAAACACTAATATGTGTGTGTGTGTGCATGTGTGTACTGCAACCGGTATTTGTGTGTGATTCATTTCAGAAAGGCTTGAATAACCTCCACCACAAATACATAAAAAAAAAACTTACTTGGTATTTTTGACTAATGAGCTGTATTTCAGTTTTTTAAGTGTCTGTCTCTATCACTGACTGCTGTTTATCTGCTATAAGGCAACTAAAGCAGACATGCAAGAGGAAACGGTGGGCAGGAAGAAGCAGCTTATTTACATTTAAAACCACATGCTACAAAAACAGCTACATTGTCCTCAGACACAAAAATCAGCAGATACTGGAAGCTATAATAAATAATCTGATAGAAATTTTGAGCTGAACCTACAGACATTTTCTGGAGCCACCAAAGGTTTATTTCACATCGTGTAAAAAGGGTAAAATAGATGCCCTTTAAGATTTTTTTTTAGATATTTGGATTAGAAAAACACAAAAACTGTAAGTGTTTTTTTTTTCTGCAGTGCTTGATCCACTTTTTTTTGGTTTCACCAAGATCTAAATGAGAGTGCTGACACTTATTGCTAACTGAACTTATTATTAACTGAACCTATTCTGCCAATTGTGAACACAACTTTTACAGATGTGGTAGGGAAAAATAAAATATACCATACCAGAGCTTTTTCGGAACCACTTATTTTCTGTGCATTCTGTCCACAGGTTCATCAGTTCTGGGCACCGAGGATGATCTGGCAGTGTCTCTCCGCTTCATGAACTTCGGTGCTAGTCCTCCATCTTCAGATGACGGCACACTGGATTCTGGCTTGTCCAGTTTTGTGGAGAACCCGCAATATTTCTGTGGCATTATCAAAGATAAAGACATGTGTGAGTGTCTAACAATCACATGACAGCACACAAGTTATTGTTATTGTTGTACAGCATGTTGATTGAAAGCCATTGTTTCTTTCTGCAGGTGTTCAGCACATTAAAAGAAAAGACATTGTTTTGAAGTGGGAACTGGGTGAAGGAGCTTTTGGCAAGGTTTATCTGGCTGAATGTGCCAATCTCTGTCCTGATACTGACAAGATGCTGGTTGCTATCAAGGTATGATTGTGCTTTGAGTTTTCAAGACACCATTTACTCACTCACTCACTCACTCACTCACTCACTCACTCACTCACTCACTCACTCACTCACTCACTCACTCACTCACTCACGTGGTTCCAAACCTTTAGTTTCTTTATTCTGTTAAACAAAAAAGAAGATATTTTGAAGAATGCTGGAAACTGGTAACCATTGACATCCATGATAGGAAAAACAAATGCTATGGAAGTTCAATTTCAATTCATTTTTATTTCTATAGCGCTTTTTGTGCCAAAGCAGCTTAACTACCGTCTACAGTTGATTTTGATATTCTGGGAATTATAAATTGTCCAGATTTCAATTCGAGTCAATGTTTACAGGTTTTCAGCATTCTTCAGCAAATCTTGTTTTGTGTTCAATAGAAAAAAGAAAGTTAAAAAAGTTTTGGAATAAATGGAGGGACAGTAAATGACGACAATATTTTCATTTTTGGGTGAACCATCCATTTAAATGTAATTAAAGACATTTTATGTGATATTTTTAGCTATTTGAGTGAAATTAAAACATTAGATTTTTGGTTACACTTGAAAATATTGTTAGATTAAGCATTTGATGCTGATGATGATATGAACAATAAGCATCATAAAACGCTTATTTTTCTAAACATGCTTGATAAGACTTCGTTTATAAGCTAGTGCTACACTGAATTTCAATAAAATGTGCGAAAGTAAAAAAAAATGTGAAAAAAAACCTCAAAGCAGGTAAACATGCGCAGTAATGCAGAAAAAAATACAGTTTTATTGTTTTGATGCTTGAAATCTTTGTTGACTTTGAACGAAACAAAATAATAAAAAAAAAATTACAAAATATATAAATATTTTTAAAAAATTATATTTTTTATAAAAAATAAATATAATTTTAAATATCCATGTAATATTACATAAATAATACTAAAACAGATATGTATGCTGCAAAAGATAAATCCAGATTGAGTGCAATGCAAAAATAAAGAGAAATTGAATTGAACTAAAAAAGGAATGCAATTAAATAGTAGTGCTGCATAACATAATGTTTCAGCATCGATATCGCAATGTGCGCATCTGCAATAGTCACAACTCAAGATATGCAGTGTTTAACTATAATTAGTCTGAATTATAGTTGACCAGGTGCCACAGAACACATCTGATTTGTAGAGTCATTGCTAGGTTTAATTATAGTAGAGTGAAAGTTTATCATTTGCATGCTTTTAAGACCTTTGACTGAGCATTTTTAAACAATGTATGGAGGTGTAAAAAAATTTTAAAAAATAATTTTTAAAAACTATTTATATGATTTATGCATCAGAAAAAAAACAGAAACTTTTAAACTTAGAATCTTTGTCTTGTTTCTAGTACAAATATTTACATTTCAAAGCAAAATAAGATAATTTAATTATTAAATTGGCAGAAAACGTGAAAGCAATAAGAAACAAGACAAATCAATTAGTTTTTTGCATCATGATTGTTCAATTTCTGTACCTAAATGCTGTTAGACTCCCCTGAAGACCGTCAAATAGAGCTATTCAAACCATCTTGTGAAACTGTACTTGTACTGCTGTGTTTATTGCAGAAAATTAATATACCATGACATCAGATTTTTTCAATATCGTGCAGCCCTATTAAATGGCATTAAAATTAAGGTAAAATAAAATGGGTCAATTAAAAAATAATAATAAGTATGCATCATACATCAACTATTGCTCACTAATGTAAAGGTGTAACAAATCTCCAAAAATGTATTGTTTTTAATTATTTATACGATTTATGAAAAAAAGCTTAGAAAACTTAAAAACTTTTAAACTTTGAGTTTTTGTCTTGTTTTTAGTACAAATATTTACATTCAAATTCAATTTCTGTACCTGAATGCTGTTACTCCCCTGAACACCGTCAAATACAGCTATTTAAATCATCTTGTGAAACTGTATTTATATCGAAGTGTTTGTTGCAGAAAAATAAAATACAGCAATATCAGATTTTTCCAATATTGTGCAGCCCTATTAAATGGCATTAAAATGAGAGGCAAAATACAATGGTCGGTTTAAAAAAAACAACAATTAAGCATCATGTATCAACTGCTTTTCACTAATTTTGAACATCTGATTAATTCTAAGTATCTTTCATGTGTAGACTTTGAAAATAGCCAATGAGTCCACCCGGCAGGACTTCCAGCGCGAGGCTGAGCTGCTCACGGTGCTTCAGCACGAACACATTGTGCGCTTCTACGGTGTGTGCGCAGACGGAGAACCCCTGGCCATGGTGTTTGAGTACATGCGACACGGAGACCTCAACCGCTTTCTAAGGTCAGTCTAATAACCAGCAGCCACTCACAATGAATTAACTACAGTGGCAGCAATGCGGCGTAGCGGTCGAAAACTGACCAGCTAAAAGAGACCTCTGAGAAAGAGCTTCAATTTGCTGTCCTAGGAAAACCTCAGAAACACAAACACATGTTTTTGTTTGGATGGATATGGCATAGAGCGTCTGTGAAATTACAGTAGTAGAGAAAAGAACGTTTTAAGGTGTCATGAACTGCATTTTCAGGTCCTTTGAGGAAGATTTACAGTGTAATGTGATTTTTTTTTACATGAAAAAATTCATCATTTATATCTTATAGCGTATTTTATATCTTGAGCCTAATATTTTGAAGCCCTATGTTTTAATAGGGGATAGATTTGGATATTTAAATAATAAAGGAATGCTGCTTTGATGTACGTTGAAAACATCTGGCTCTATTTTAATGATCTGGAGATGGTTAAAAGGCCATGATGGCTATGAGGCCAGTGAGCAAATTTGGCCATGCGGCCAGGGCTAAACCCCTATTCTTTTTTTTTTTTTATTGACCACAGAGAGTCAAGTAATCAGTTTAACGTTCATCCGAAAGACGGTGCTCACTGAGCAGTATAGAGTCACTATCAATATACTGAGGCATTAGGACCCACGCAGACCACAGGTTGAGCGCTCCCCCTGCCGGCCTCACTTATTTAAGAACCAAAGTGTTCAAAATTTTCGATTCACTTAAAAAAAAAAAAAGACCTTTTCTTCTTGTTCAAAACACTTATTTAAAATCAGGGGGAAACAACTAAATTCTCAAGGTTTTTTGGGGTGGGGGGGGGGGGGGGGAATTAATTGTTTTTGTGTTCAATCCATTTAAATTTGTAAAAATGATTAAGTTAGCTTAATTGATTTGTGAATGCAGCATTTTTTACAGTGTATGCAAATCCAGTGGTCACAAGCCTTTTTAACCCAAGATCCCTAAACTCGGCATTGCTGAACCCATCAAAAAACTCAACAGAAAAATAAAGCTACATTTAAAATTTATATTTCCAGCTGGAGGCATTTAATTTAACATTTTTAACAATGTTAAAGCACTAGTTTGACCTACTTTAATCTGTTTAATTGATAAAACCGCAATTGACATGTTGGCGCCCACTGCAAAACTATTAGCCAGTCATACTAATGGGCATTTACTTCTGGGTCTACTGTCTGCTATATGTTTTTTTTTAATTTAAGTTATTAGAGTGCTCAAAATAGGACAGAAATTAGCGCATTACCCCTAAATAATGATTTTATTTACTGCATGATAACTTCATAAGCAGAGCCCATAGAACAGCTAAATATGTGTTTTTTAAAGCACTTTTCGACCCTGTAAGTCATGCCAAGACAAAAGAAGAAACAAGCCAGCTTGGTAGCTTTGTTTCAACAAAAGTTTTTTTAAATCAGTAATTATCTGAAGTCAGAAACTTGTCACATGATGTCAAAAAAATGAAGGTAAATTTGATTCATCAATCTATTAACATTTAAAAGGGCTGCTCAAGTGTTACTAGTTAAGGTCAAGTTGAGTAGTTGAAGTTGCAAAAGTCTTTTCTTCCCTATTGTGATGTGCAAACAGCTTCACGGACCAGATAAATAGTATTAAGGAAGAACTTGATTTTGACTGGGGGAATTCGATGGTGGCGATGGATTAATTTGTGCCAGAACATGCCGACTCCGGATCTGGCACCTCTGAAATTTGATCCGGCACCTCATTTTACTTATTTTCATTTTATTTTTAAGTGCAGGGGGTTGGGGGTGGTGGTTGCCAATCGGTAAGTGAAGAGGAGGAGGGGGGGGTACGGTGGCAGGACAGATTGACCGGTGCTCCCTATGGTATACCCATAGTGGTACCCATAGGTATACCTCACAGCAAGAAGCTGATTTGAGCCCCCGCTGGGTCAGTTGGCAGTTCAGTGAGGAGTTTGCATGTTCTCTCCGTGTTCACATGGGTTTCCTCCAGGTGCTACTGTTTCCCCCACAGTTCAACGACAAGCGCCATAGGTGAACTGAATTAACTAAATTGTCCGTAGTGTATGAGTGTGTGTGCGTGTGTGAATGCGAAAGTGTATGGGTATTTTCCAATGCTGGAATGCAGCTGAAAGGGCATCCGGAATAGTTGGTGGTTCATTCTGCTGTGGCACCCCCTGATAAATAAGGCACTAAGCCAAAGGAAATGAATTAAATAATTGGATGGTTGGAGTTTGTCATTGGTGGATCTAATGTGATCGACAGGTTGAGCCCATAATTATGTCAATAAATACATCATCAGTAAAGACTAAATGTGGTTAAAGATGGAGGAAAACAAATAATATTCATTTTAAATGACACTTAAATTTCACAGTGACTAATAATCTTGCTTGCAAGTCAACTTCTGGTCTTTCAAGTTACATCCATATCCAAAAATGTAACCGCATTCACATCTACTGAGCCAAACCTTCAAGCTGAAATGCGAATCCTGTTTTTGCGATGCTCCAGTCTTAATTAAGACATAAAGTTGACTGAAGTATGAAGTGGCTGATGGGAGATTGACTGGCCATATGTCCCAGCACAGCTGAGTCTCGGTGCGTAAAGATCCAGTCTGTTTGCCAGGTGGTTTGCTGGGGCCAGATTGGGAGTGGGGACATGTGAATGTTTGAGGGGGAGATGAAATCGCATTTTCACGTGTATGGATGTGGCTCCAGTCTCAGTTTCCAGCTGTCCCATCCTGCCACCTGCCTGATAAACTAATAGGATCACACGCTAAACCTCAGAGAGAGTTTGGATGCTTATATTAGGATGAATGGAGACAGTGGTTTGCACATTGAGGCCTGACATGCAAGGCAATGGTGAGCTATGGTGCGTCTGCTGTCATTTAGCAGATGTTTTCTTTCCCAAAGAGACTTGCAGGACTACAAAGAGACTCTGGAGTTCGTTAGAAATTATTAAAGTATAAATCATGCATCACAGATTGTGTTCAAATGTGTTCAGAATGGATATTGATGATTGAATACCGTCAAATGCTTATAAGTAGCCAACAATAAAAAATAAGATGTATTTTTTAGTTTTGTGCAAAAACATGCCACACATTCATTAAACTTCCATTCATTTAAAACCTTGCTAACTTTATAAGTGGACCCCATAGAAAAAATATGTGTGTGTTTAAGCATTTCATGTCCCCTGTAAGTCATGCCAAGACAAAAGAAAAAAAAAAGCTTGCTTGGCAGCTTGTTTTTTGAACCAGTGGGGATGATCTGAAGTCTGAAACCTGTTTTTAGAGTAGAATGAACTCTGATATGTCCAAAACATTAAGGGAAATTTGATTTCTCATTAAATAAACATTTGGTAGGCCCGCTCTATTGTTACTAGTTGAAGTTGCAATATGTATCCAATGTGTATCCAAGTTAAACAGCTTCAACATATGGCAAACATTCATTAGGCTAGCAATATAGTACTAGCCTAAGGAATTAGTCCTAAAACCTGGCATAAATGTGTGTCTTTAGTTATTTGATCGTAGGTGGCCAGCAAAGATGCAGTATTGCTTCCACCTTGAATACACATGCATTTAAATGGATCAATTTTGACTGCATGAATTTGGATTTTATTAGTTAGGTTTCCATTCAAAGATGTGAATTATAAGTAGGTGTAAAACTGAAGTATTGTATACAACATTTGCAAATAAAGTACCTTTTCCTCTTTCTTTCCCATTAAGTCAAAAACAAAACAATCATCTCTTCCTGATAAATAGGTGCCAAATATAATTCACAAATGCAATATGCAGCAGAGAAGTCACAATGGGTATTTTTTTATATAGTGGATTACACTACCTGACAAAAGTCTTGTGTTAGATTCCAATTGTAAGAGCTAAAAATCCAAAACAAAAAATCTTTTGGAAAACTGGCGAAAGGTGGATTTACCAATTAATCATCTGTCGAACTGAATCCCAATCATCACAAATACTGCAGAAAACCTATTGGAACTTGCATGAACCCAAGATTCTCACAGAATTCAGTCAAGTTTGGTGAAGGAAAAATCATGGTTTGGGGTTACATTCAATATGGGGGTGTGTGGGAGATCTGCAGAGTAGATGGCAACATCAACAGCCTGAGGTATCAAGACATTTGTGCCGCCCATTACATTACAAACCACAGGAGAGGGCAAATTCTTCCGCAGGATAGCACTCCTTCTCATACTTCAGCCTCCACATCTAAGTTCTTGAAAGCAAAGAAGGTCAAGGTGCTTCAGGATTGGCCATCCCAGTCACCAGACATGAACATTATTAATAATGTCTGAGGTAAGATGGACGAGGCATTGAAGATGAATCCAAAGAATGTTGATGAACTCTGGGAATCCTGCAAGAATGCTTTCATGACTTTATTAATAAGTTATTCAATTCTTGCAGAAATGTATGGATGCAGTCCTCCAAGCTCATGGGAGTCATTGACAATATTCATTCTGTTTCTACTGCAGCATGACTTTATATTCTATACTGTACATTATTTCTATTAAGTGAACAGACTTTTGTCCAAGCAAAGTCAGACCTTACTGTCTTAAATAAAAAAATTTTTTAAATCAAGGCATGATCATTTTTATTTTGGTTAAATAAGCATATTCTAGAGGCCTTTGCCTTTCATATAAACCACTTCAGATACCAAACGATCAACTAGAAGATAATAACAGAAGTTATTATCTGTTGTTGTTAAAACTTAGATAGGCGACAAGACTTTTGTCAGGTAGTGTGTGTTCAATTACGTAGCAGAACAACAATACAGCTCAACTTGAACTTGAAACATGGTTTTCTCATTCTTTAAGTTCCATTACCATCATCCTGAAGTCAAAAGTTTTGGTAATGGTTTAATTTTCACAAAAAATAGATTAGTAATATCCCATTTGGGCTTAAATAAATGTATGTTTGTAAACAGAATATATACTAAACCATGAGTAAAAAGACCTGCACACACAAAATGCTCATGACACACACAGCAGAGGGAGCACTTGAAGTAAATTAGTATGCCATTCTGAACACATCCAAACTCTCCTTCTGTACATATACAGAGCAGCTGTAACATACTGTAATGCGTGTTGTTTTTGTACAGGGCTCACGGTCCCGATGCTCGTATATTAGATGAGATGAAGGTTCCTCCGATGGGTCAGTTGACTCTTCCTCAGATGCTCCACATTGCCGCTCAGATCGCCTCAGGAATGGTGTACCTGGCGTCCCTTCATTTTGTCCACAGAGACCTGGCCACAAGGAACTGTCTAGTGGGAGAAGGGCTGGTAGTGAAGATCGGGGACTTTGGGATGTCAAGAGACATTTACAGTACTGACTACTACAGGGTAAAAACATACAACACATTATTACAGCTAAGATATAATTCTCAAATGATCTACCAGTTTTGTGGTGTTGGTCTATAGTGTATATATAATCCTTTTACATTGAACCCTTTTATACTTTTTTCCCTCTTTCTGTTTAAAGGAGAGAAGATTTTTTTCAACACATTTCTAACTCATTTCTAATGACGGATTTTTTTTTTCTTTGCCATGATGACAGTAAATTATATTTGACTTGATATTTTTTAAGACACTAGTATTCAGCTTAAAGTGACATTTAAAGGCTTAACTAGGTTGATTAGAACCCTGTTTAATGGGGCTAATAATATTGACCTTAAAATGTTTTTTTAAAAAAAGTAAAACTGCTTTTATTCTAGCAGAAACAAAAGAATTGGGACTAAATTATTATAGGAAATACAGGGGGAAAATCACCTTGTGCTGATAAACATAATTTAGGAAATATATATATATATATATAAAAAAAAAAAGCATTTACAAGAGGGCTGATCATTTTGAATTCAACTGTATATTGATTTAAAAATAATTAATCATCAATTATTAAGATTCAGCTATCAGATTTGCTATATTTTCAATAAAACAACTGTCAATCAAATATTTTCCAAATTGAATAATATTTAATGCCAAAAATTAAACACCAAAATAATCAAGAAAATAATTAATTATACACAACAAAATATTAATTTTCTTCTTGTTTCAAGCCGCATATAAAAAAATTAAATCAAGAAGCATTTTTAAGAAAAATACACAACATTGTTTTGTTTTCAGAAATAAGAAGTCAAAATTAAGAGACTTTTTCTTAAAAACAAGCTAAATTATCTGTCAGTGGGACAAGTAAAAGCATCTTTTATTTTAAACTGGATAAATCAATTGTTATTTTTGAGTTTTCATATGAAAATGTTTTGTTGATTATGATTAAATGTATTTGTGTTCGAATAAATATTTTAAGAGTTGATTATACTGTTCGAAACAAATCAAATCAAATCTTAAAACCAAAAAACAAGTTTATTTTATTCACCCCACTGGCAGATAAGTTAGCTTATTTTCAGAAAAAAATCACTTAAATTTGACTTAATATCTCTGAAAACAAAACCATATTTTATACTTGTTTAGAAAATGCTTCTTGATTTAAGATTTTTTAGTTGTTTGGACTAGAAACAAGACAATAAAATAATTAATTATTTTGATAACACTTCATTAACTATTATTAATTAGTTGCTTATCACACTGTAAAACCCAACAGTCAACTTTATCAAGTGAAATGGGTGTAGTTAACTCAAAATTGACTGAAAGTTTCATTTGAAGAGTTTTGAACTCAGAGTTGAAGGTAATGAGTTCATTAAATAGCTCATTGCTTCAACTTAAATGGAGTAAGTTCACAGAACTCATGTAGATAAGTATAACTCAAATGGTTAGTGGCAATCAGTTTCCTCTTAACTTGTTTGGTTTTACAGTACTCAGCGGGTTTGAGTTCTCTTCATGTATTGGGTTTTACTGTGCTCAAATTGCTTCATTTACTCAAATGGATTAAGTTCACAGCACTCAGTAGGATTAGTTTTTTAACTTAAAAAGTTTGTTGCAATCAGTTTCATAACATTAACTTATCGGGTTTTACAGTGCATGCACACAGCTAGCATACTGCCTGTAAGTACTTATAAACTGCATATTAATAAAAACATGTCTAATTTCGCACAATTATACTCTACATCTCTAATACCTAAACTCTACTACAACAACTACATTAATGGAATATGTTGTTTACTAAAGGAAATGCTTTCGTTTTTACACTAAAAACATTTTTTTGCTGCTTGTTCAAACTACTTATTTATAATGAGCTGAATCAACAATTCTTAAGGTTTTTGTTGAAAACTTAATTATTTTATGTTCAATCAACTTAAATTTGTAGCAACAATGAAGTTAACAGTTTACAGTGTAGTAAATATGTGTTTATTTACCCTCTGCAGAGATGTTTGGTAGTGATTTGTCCACATTTACATCCTCAGGTCGGAGGCAGGACGATGCTGCCCATTCGCTGGATGCCACCGGAAAGCATTATGTACAGGAAGTTCACCACAGAGAGTGACATCTGGAGCTTCGGAGTCGTTTTGTGGGAAATCTTCACCTATGGCAAACAACCCTGGTATCAGCTATCCAACAGTGAGGTACATTACCTTATTTGTTTTAGTTTATTTCTGCTATATTCATTCATCCATTTTATTATATTTGTCAATGTCAAAATATATTATTTTGAGTTTCACTGAAAAATAAAAATCTCACAGGTTTAGAACAAAAAGATGTATATTTTTTGTTTATCCATCCTATATTAATCAGAATTTTATCAGTTTTTGAGGTGTTTTTTTTTTTGAGGTGTAAAATGATCGTACACATCAAAAAGTAAATCTTAGGTTTAGAACAAGAAGATAAAATAATTTTGTTCCTATTTATGCTACCTTAATCTGCATTTTTTTGTGGGTTTTTTTCCTGTTGTTTGGGGGAATAAAAAATTATCATACATCAAATTTAAAATTTAAAACAAAAAAAAGATATAATACATTTTTTTACACTACATTAATCAGATTTTTTGTGCTGTTTTTTTTCTCTTTTTTTGGAGAATTAAAAAAAACATAAAACATAAAAATATACATTTATGTATAAAAATATACATAAAACATACATAAAAATATATCTTTTGTGTTTCAGTGAAAAAAAAATCTAAAGTTTAGAACAAAAATATAATTTTTTGTTTATTAATGCTACATTATTTATGAATTTTATTATAATTTTGCTTTTTTGGAGGAACATACACTCACTGGCCACTTTATTAGGTACATCTTACAAATACTGGGTTGGACCCTCATTTGCTATAATCCTTTGTGGCATAGATTCAACAATGTACTGGAAATATTCTTGAGATTTCGGTCCATATTGATATGACGGCATCACGCAGTTGCTGCAGATTTGTTGGCTGCACATCTATGATGCAAATCTGCCGTTCCACCACATCCCAAAGTTACTCTATTGGATTGAGGATCTGGTGACTGTGGAGGCCATTTCAGTACAGTGAACTCATTGTCATGTTCAAGAAACCAGTCTGAGATGATTCTCACTTTATGACATGCTGCGTTATCCTGCTGAAAGTAGCCATCAGAAGATGGGGACACTGTGGTCATAAAGGGATGGACATGGTCAGCAACAATACTCAGTAGGCTGTGACACGATGCTCAATTGGTACTAATGGGCCCAAAGTGTGCCAAAAAGTATCCCTCGCACCATTACACCACCACTACCAGCCTGAACTATTGATGCAATACAGGATGGATCCATGCTTTCATGTTGTTGATGCCAAATTCTGACCCTTACCATCCGAATGTCGCAGCAGAAAAAATGCTAGCCTCAGTTTCCTGTTTTAAGCTGACAGGAGTGGCACCCGTTGTGGTCTTCTGCTGCTGTAGCCCATCTGCCTCAAGGTGCCCATCTGCCTCAAGGTTGGATGTGTTGTGCATTTAGAGATGCTCATCTGCATTCCTCTGTTGTAACAAGTGGTTATTTAAGTTACTGTTGCCTTTCCATTAGCTGGAACCAGTCTGGCCATTCTCCTTTGACTTCTGGCATCAACAAAGCATTTGCGCTTAAGGGATATTTTCTCTTTTTCAGACCATTCTCTGTAAACCCAAAAGATGGTTGTGCGTGAAAATCCCAGTAGATCAGCAGTTTCTGAAATACTCAGATCAGTCCGTCTGGCACAAACAACCATGCCACATTAAAAGTTACTTAAATTACCTTTCCCCCCGTTCTGATGTCTGGTTTGAACTGCAGCAGATCGTCTTGACCATGTCTACATGCTTAAATGCTGCCATGTGATTGGCTGATTAGAAATTTGCGGTAAAGAGCAGTTGGACAAGTGTAACTAATAAAGTGGCCAGTAAGTGTAAATATGATCATACAGTGTGTCCTTTTAAGTTTCACTGAAAAACAAAAATCACGCAGGTTTAGAACAAAAAGATATAATAATTTTGTTCCTGTTCATGCGACTTTCATCAAAATTGTATTATTAATATTATCCTCTTTTTTTGGAGGAATAAAAATTGATAATACATCCAACCATGTACTTTTTTTTTCACCAAAAAATAAAAAATAAAAATCACACAGGTTAAGAACAACAGCAAATGAATTTTCATTAGTCAGTAAGCGATTTCAGTAAGATTTACCAGCAGTGACAGGAGAAATTGAATCTGTCTGAAGGCATCAGTGCTGGTCAGTGAGTTAAAAAAGCAAACAGACACAGAGCTATTCCCAAACCTTCATCCTGATGCCAACATCCATTTTGGATCAGACTGTGCTCTTAAGCACTTATGATGAGCAAGTGGATCAATAGATTTTTTTGGATCCAGACTGCTCAGATTAGGCACCAAAAAGTGGACTCTGGTGCGACCACAACTGCACTATTATGCTGGAGAAGCCTCTCTTCTTTCAGCAGAGAGGTAGATCGCTTTCCTGCCGACTCGATTTTAATCCCATTAAAGCTCATCTTCGCCTTGGGCCGACGTTGTTTAACCTCGTTAACCTAATCCATCCCAAGCCCTGATGGACACAGCTAATTATGGCCAGTCTAATTGTATGGGACGGAGACGGATTGTGGGTGAATTTCCATCTGTGAGGACGGGGGGGGGGGTGCCAGACTCTCAGAAGGGGTCAATGGGAATTTTTGTTAATTTATTGCAGTGATTGAAAGCCCATTTGAGAATGATGTTGTGTGGTGCTGACAGTCTCTTCACCTCATTGGATTAAGAGGCAACGCTATAAGAGCTTAAAGTCACTGCCGTTTTTTAAATAGAAACTAGAAATAGCCTTGTAGAGAATGAGTGATTCTTTACACTCACGTGCCGACTATAGAAACGAGAGTAAAATCTCATTTATTTTGATTTTCAGTTAGTATAAAATACACGTGTATATACAAGTCAAAATTATTAGCCCTCCTGTGATTTATTTTGTTTTTTGTTTTTTCAAATATTTCACAAATGATGAAATACAGAGCAATGAATTTTTCACAGGATTTCCTAAAATATTTTTTCTTCTGGAGGAAGTCTTATTTGTTTTATTTTGGCTAATAAAACTTTTTAAAAAAATCTATTTTAAGGTCAATATTATTAGCCACCTTAAGCATTTTTTTCGATGGTCTATCGTTATACAATGACTTGCCTAATTACCCTGACCTGTCTAATTAACCTATAGTAGTTAAGCCCTTAAATGTCACTTTAAGCTGTATAGAGGTGTCTTGAAATAAATCAGTTATTAGAAATGAGTTATTAAAACTATTATGTTTAGAAATGTGTTGAAATGATCTTCTCTCCGCAAAAATCTAGCACTGAAAATCTACATTTGAATATCTGTTTTCTTTGTGGGAATGTTTGTATAATAATCTTTAAGGAAAAAGTAAGTAAACAAAACAAAGCATTTAAATAAATAAATAAATAAATGAAGTCAAAATTATTAGCCCCCCTTTGATTTTTTTTCTTTTTTAAATATTTCCAAAATAATATTTTTTCTCTTTTAGAGAAAGTCTTTGTTTTACTTTGGACTAGAATAAAAGCAGTTTTAAATTTTTTATACACCATTTTAAGGACAAAATTATTAGCCCCTTTAAGCTACATATTTTTTTCGACAGTCTAAAGAACAAACCATCATGATACAATAATTACCCTAACCTGCCTAGTTAACGTAATTACACTAGTTAAGCCTTTAAATGTCACTTTAAGCTGTATAGAAGTGTCTTGAAAAAGGTCTAGTCAAATATTATTTACTGTCATCATGGCAAAGATAAAATAAATCATCTATTAGAAATGAGTTATTAAAACTATTATGTTGTTGAAAAAAATCTGCTCTCCGTTAAACAGAAATTGGGGAAAAAAAATAAACATGGGGGCTAATAATTCTGACTTCAACTGTATATATATATATATATATATATATATATATATATATATATATATATATATATATATATATATATATATATATATATATATATATTAAAATGCTAAGTTGAAACATATGATTGCAAATAATTATTAAATTATAATTGTAATATTTTACACTAATATAATAAAGGTAATGCATTTCAAAATAAAATTATTCTTATTAAAAATGAATCAAATATTTATAAAAAATGTATAGCTTTATTAGCTCTGTAAAAGCATTTCTATTTTGAAGTGTAAAAAATAATAAATGATACTGCACAATAAATGATATTGTACACATGTGGACCTCAGGAAAAATGCTAAATAATAATAATGAAATAAAATATTTACATATATTTAAATACCAAATTATTTGCCCTCTTGTATTTAGTTTTTCAAATACTTCTAAAAGATTTATACATAATAGTTTAAAAAACACATTTTTGCTAACTAATATATTTAGTCAGCTTAAAGCAACATTTAAAGGCTTAACTAGGCTATTTAGGTTAACTAGGCAAGTTAAAATAATAGACAAGTAATTTTATAACCGTGGTTTGTTCTGTAGCCAATCAAAAAATTTAATCTTAGAGGGCTAATAATATTAATGACATATTTGAAAAAAAAAACTGCTTAAATCCAGCCAAACTAAAAGAAAAAAATCCGGAATAAAAATATATTAGGAAAAACTGTGAAAATATCCTTGATCTGTTAAACATCTCTTAAGAAATATTTGACAAATTTCACAGGAGGAATAATATTCTAACTGGACTTCAGAATAAATTTAAAGTAATGATTTGGATGGAAAAAGAAGTGTGTGAGGAAAAAAATGTTTTTACTATATTACCCTATCCCCAGGCCATTGAGTGCATCACGCAGGGCCGAGAGCTGGAGCGGCCTCGCACCTGCCCAAAAGAAGTGCACCTCCTGATGCAGGGCTGCTGGCAGAGAGAACCACAGCAAAGGTTGGTCATCAAGGACATCTACAGTCGCCTCGTGGCCCTCGTCAAAAACCCACCCGTCTACCTGGACATCCTGGAGTAGCAGTTGATCAGCCCATAAAAAATGACACACTTCTGAAAGCAGGCTGAGAAGGAAACAAACAAACAAAAAAAATCAATGGTGGGTTTTGGCACGGACAGAACGGACAAACTGTCTCAAATGTGTGCAGTATGAACATTTCCGGTGTTTGTTGACTTGTGTGTGTTTAATCCACTGAATGCCTGTCCACGTGTTTCAAGATGCAGACTGAACAGTGGACACTTTGAATATGCATTAGTGGAAATGGCTGATGGATCTCCACACTAGATTTTCTATTCGAGGATACTGACGTCACAGTCTTGTAATTAAAGGTGAAGTGTGCCATTTTGTTTTCTGCATGTATTGTAATATGCAGACACTTAGTAGGCTGATGTTTCGATAAATGTATCTGGCTCTATTTGTTTGAGCATCCCGCCCAGATTGACATTGCAACAGCACTTCAAATAATGATGTGAGATTAGAGGCGGGGCTTAGTGTTTGTTTGACCAGGTAGAGACAGGTAGAGTGAAAACAACAACTTATAATCCTTTCATATGTGTTCATAAACCATGGTGATTTTCATTTAAAAAAGATGAAGTCTTAAAGAGATAGTACACCCAAAAATGTACTCACCATTTACTAATCCTCCAAACCTTTATGAAGTTTCTGTCTTCTGTTGAACACAAAAGAAGATATTTAGAAAAATGTTTGTAGACCTGCAACCAATGACTTCCATAATAGAAAAAACACATACTATGGAAGTGACTGGTTACAGGTTTCCAACATTTTTCAGAATAATTGCTTTTGTGTTCACTGAGTAAATAAAGACAGAATTTGGGGTTTTGTGTGAACTATCCCTTTAAATCACGAATAAACATATGTTTCTGTATTATACCTTCAGATCCTGATTTTCACTTTTGGTAAATTATGAATTACATACTTCACCTTTGACCATCAAGTCCATTTTCTATGTAATGTGCCTCAAAAACAAGACTCTTAAGTTGCTGTAGTTTACACGTTGTGCCAAGCTGATGCATTTTTTCAGTGTCTTGGGATTATGAATATATTACATCAACCTGTTATGCGTGATCTACACATGCATGTATTGTACATCTCTCAATGTTTACGGCTCCACTGTTCTGATTTATTTTTCTGCATCAAAAGCATCAAGAATTTCTGCAGAAATGTGGCTGTGTGGGGAAATGAATATTAACTTACTGCATACTAAAAACGTGTAGTATGAAATGGCATACTTTGAGTAGTATTTTTGTCACACGTATTGTGTTTAAGAAACTACAGGATTTAACAAGTGGACAAAATTTCCGATTGAATTTGTGTGTTGTTTGATGAATTATCAGGCTTTCCAGAACAGAAATCTGAGCACTTGAAAAAGTCAGGCTCAAAAATTCTTTCATTTTATTTACATATTATGGGTTCAATTACTTTGTCAGGGGGACTCCTAACCACTCCTTAAATCGTAAAAAAAACATTCATTCATTTATTTTCCTTTGGCTTAGTCCCTTTATGAATGTGGGGTCACCACAGCGGCACACACGCAGCAGATGCCCTTCCAGCCACAACCTATTACTGGGAAACACTCATAAACATTCATTCACACACATACACTACGGATAATTTAGGTTAACCTATACTGTATGTCTTTGGACTTGAGAGGAAACTGGAGCACCCGGAAGAAACCCACACAGAAACAAGGCTCGAACTACCGACCTTCTTGCTGTGAGGCGAACGTGCAACCCACTGCACCACTGTGCAGCCCTAATTTCATCATTAGAATTGCAAATTCAAATAGAAATTGCAAAACAATAGAAATTGTTTTGAAAAATCAGCTGCCCACTGTATTTGTTTACTTTTTGTTTTTGTAATAGGCTAGAAAAATATTTATAATTCAACAGCCTATATATTAGTTATTGGCTTTCAAATATAGTTATATACACAATTATTAGCCCCCCAGTGCATTTAATTATTTATCAATTATGTCCTGTGATGTTAAACAGATTTTTTTTCTATTTTTTTTTTAAATATGGTTTAAAACAATTTTTAAATAACTACTTTATCTGTCATATTGACAGTACATCATATTTTACATTTATTTTGAAGATACTACTATGCAACTTAAAGGCCAATTTAATTTTCTTTAAAGGCACATTTCTTTAATTAGGCAAGTCATTGAACAACAATAACTACATTTACATTGACATCAGTAAACAAATTATTTGCCTTAATCTGAATAAGACAATAATATGATTAAGGTTTTAACGTGTTGCTTTTTTAATGTTTCTTTCATGATCCCGTTTTACATGTTATAGCACATAATTTGATTAACATCATGGCGTCACAGCGCTATTCACATTTTCTCCAAAGTTTCATGTAATTTCGGTTGTTTCATTTTTGATTTGTCGATTTTAACTAGTTTGGCACTTTCACTTTCATTTAGGAACATTTCATGTGTGCCCCCCGTTACAAACTGAGGTATTGGATGCGATTAACTGCTGGAAGAGTGTTGTTTTAATGGAATTTGATAGTGCACGCCGCATGGGGGAAAAACCTCTGCATTTTGCAATTTAGGTGTCTGTGGTCCTTCTCTGACTCGGTAGGTGTCGGATAGACTATCCTGTTGCAAAATGTGATGAAAATCCAACACGATAATAGTCTGATTGCACTTCAATAATGCGACTAAAATCAGCAACTGATACTCCACATCTTAATTTTATTTCTGTTTAGTTTGATTATAACTTTACATGGTAGACTCTTAATCAGAGTATTGTCTTAATCATATTCAAATCAGATTATTGGCATCCATGTAAACGTACTCAGTGATTTGTTCTGTAGTCAAAGACAGCATCTTAAAAGGGGGGGTAATAATATTGATCTAGCGCTTTTATGTTTTTTTATATAATTGCCAGACAAATAAAATAAATAAATAAATAAAGTCTTTTTTTCTTAAAATAGAAATATCATTGAAAATACTGTGGAAAAACTTCATTTACTGTACAAGTGCACTACAAAAATTATCCTTATCCGCTGTCTGTGAATCGTCTTTCCAAAGATTAATATTTCTTTATACGATGACCAGTTTTTACACATAAGTGCTCAAAAAGACACGTTATACGTCTTTAATGAAATTAAAGCTGTGTTTTTTAAACTAAGACAGCAGAAGTCAATTATTTTTTTTCATTATTTAGCCTGATATGTCCACTGCACCAAAATATTTTAAATGTTTCTCAAAATAAAATATATTGTGTTCAAAAGGGCAATTTTTTTTTGTTTTTTACACAGACATTTAAAAATAATATATTTTAGAGGAGTAATCACAATACCGTGAAATCGTGATACTTTTATCAAAGGTTATCATCTTGGCCGTTAGAATCTTTTTCCGTCCCATGCATAACATCAGGTACCATGTTTTTCTTGATCCATCTTCTGTTTCTTTTTTTTTTTGACAGTATAAAAACAGCTCAGTTATGTGTTGCTACTTTGTACAATGGTCTCAAACTTAATTCCTGGAGGGTCGCAGCTCTGCATAGCTTAGCTTTATCCATCTCCAAATCACACCTGCTTTATGGTATCTAGAAGTCTTGAAGACCTTGATCAGTTGGATCAGCTGTTTAATTAAGACTAGAGGAAAAGAGCAAAAGAGCTGTGGCCTTCCAGGAATCGAGTTTGAGACCTATATTGTAGAAAAACTAAAGTAGTATTTTAAAAAATTATTTGCAAAACAATTAGCAAGAAGACATGCAATCATACTAAGAGCAATTAGAAAATTGGAACAAACTGTGCTTGTGACTAATTTTGTGTCATGCATTCGCTCAAAAAAACTGAACATGGATGTTTTTATTTCAATAGTCTAAAAAAACAAGTTATGCAAGTCTTTAAGAGCCGGAACTCTCCAAACCTGAAAAACACAGCTTGTTCCAGTAGTCTCTTGCTTTACTTTAAATCATGATGCTTTTAAATCTAAATTTTAAGGCTAAAATGTTTCCAATTAATTGTATAACACCTGCTTTTTATTAGCAATCCCATTCATTTCAATGGCTCAGTAAGTGCACGCATGCAGCTCAGGAAATACACAACATGCCTGTTCATTGTTCACAACTTTATCAGTTATGAATTCACTGTATTTTGAGGCTATAAATGCCATATCAATAATCCCTACAGAGCCACACGCTGCAGAAATGATAAATAGCACATGTTAGTATGCACTTCCCAACACAGCCAGAATTACAGCATGATACTGGTGTAAGCCAGTCAATCAATCAAATGTTAATTTATGATAACAGCATGTTAAGCTATAGTGGTCAGTTTACCGTTTTGTTTCATTAATGGGTGCATCATTTGTATGTATTATTCGTGCCTCTTGTACATAGTTAATGATCTGCATTATTTTGCCTAAATCATTTTCTATTTGTACTTTTTTTATCTTTACTCTTACCTAGTGTACTAAATATGTTTCAAAATTGAAGGTTTCCATGTCTCCTAACACTATTAGGAGTTACAGCTTGGAATCATAACACAGTGATGAAATCAAAAATACATATTTCTTGAACAAAAATGTATAATATTCAAGTTGGCATCTGACAGTATCTTTTGTTTCATTGTACAAATAAATATAACGATTTGGATATGGACTTGGTTTATGATTTTGTGGATGTGGAATAGCTGTATTGAACAAGATTTTATTCGATCTTTTCATTGCCAGCTTTTGTTTGCCATATTGTTCATTTCACATTTTTGCTGCATAATGCTTATATAGTGCTGCTTATTGTGCTTGATGAATTTGCTGTCACTACAATACATTTGAGTCAGCAGACATACCATAGACTGCTGCTGTTTTATTTAAAACTAATTGTACATTTTATTATGCCCCATAAATCTGAAGCTCACCTTTTTTTTGGATCAAGACACAACTGTAGATTTTAATATAGTTTGGATTAGATTTAATTTTCTTTTTTACATTATTACTTTAATTTTAATTAGCTTTAAAAAAAGTTGTAGTTCTTGACATTTTTTTTTTAACAACATTTTTTATTTTAAACAGTCATGCAAATTGACAAAGGTTTAATTTAGCAGTTTAGCAAAACAACAACAACAATAAAACAAACTCGAAATAACTTTATACACTTTGAATGAAAAAATAATAAACAAATAAATAAATAATAATATTAAATAATACAGCAATAACATACAATCACCGGCCACTTTTTAGGCACACCTTACTAGTACTGAAAATATTTATAAGAGATTTTGGTCAATATTGACATGATAGCATCACGCAGTTACTGCATATTTATCGTCTGCACATCCATGATGCGAATCTCCTGTTACACCACATCCCAAAGGTGCTCTATTGGATTGAGCCCTGGTGACTGTGGAGGCCATTTGAGTACAGTGAACTTATGGTCATGTTCAAGAAATCAGTCTGAGATGATTCGCTCTTTATGACATGGAGCATTATCTTGCTGAAAGTAGCCATCAGAAGATGGGGACACTGTGGTCATAAAGGGATGGACATGGTCAGCTACAATACTCAGGTAGGCTGTGGTGCTGGCACGATGCTCAATTGGTACTAATGGGCCCACAGTGTG